CTCTTTGAAATGTCATTTTCAAAAGGTTAGATTATGGAAAAGGTATGAGATTTTTCTAGGTTGTGGAGGGAATGATAGAAAATTTTCCTAGACTTTGCTCTTCCTAATTTGCACTTCGGTGTCATTACAAGACAAAATATAGGAGCAGTGTTCCTTCTGCCTCTTGAAGCTATACTGTGTTCCAAATGAGAAGTCGAGACATGTATAGTTAGATGTTGTATGTACCTTGTTTTAATGACAGGCATAGATTTCTGGAAACTGCATGAATCCTTTTGGCCTGGAAATCTTCCCTTTGGAGGAAATATTGGAAGCTGACATTTTAACTGTAGACTGAGATATTTAAAGGAAAAGTCTTGCATTCACAGCTGATAAAGAGGACAGTAAACTTTACTAACATGTTATTTGTTTCTAACAACAGTTGTGACTTAACCTCTTCAGTATTTTCATGAATGAAGAATTATGCTGATTCTCACTAAAACCAAGACAGATTATTGCTAGAAGTCATAAACCAGTTCAAAATGCTAGAAGTTTCCAAGTGCCTCCATTGCAGTTAAAATACACTCCGAATTCTTCTACCCTTTGCCAATATCAATAAGCAAAAAATTTTGTTTAGCAGGCAGCAGGGTTGGGAGTTGGAGAACAAACGCTGCAGGCAAATAGCCTGTTTGTTAACACTGAAGAGAAGGGTTAGCAGAGTATCAGGCCAGCATTTCAGGAGAAGTGTGACACCCTGGAGTGTAAGACTTTCCAAAGCCCGGTTTTGCATACAATAACTCTGCATTTTAAAAAAAAGTGACTGAAATTATAATGTAAGTACAAAAATGCGCAGTGTTTTATATGGGGGGAGGGGAGAATAATTTTAGAAATCATAAGCTAAAGTTAGGTGCTTTTATCTTTATAAATGAAAGTGGCCTGATTTTTTTTTTTTTTTAAAGGTGCTGACTCTCCACTGTGTCAACGGCTATACAGAAGCATTAAGAATCATATAAATGTCAGGTCATATTGGTGTAGGCACCTAAATGTGGAATCTGTGTGCTAGTGGTTCTTTTTCTGTGGGTTCTACCTGGCTTTTTTCACACGTTAGGACTTTGGTTTAAAATTTTAAATTCCTCAGTGCAGGGCATATGTTTGTGCTGTTTCTGCAGATTGGAACTTCCGAAACAGATGGCATGAAGATTCTGAAGAATCAGACTTGGACACCCTCTCTTAAAAGTCTATGAACATATTATTTAATTATTGTAGTGGAAATGACGGTTGAGTCGGGAAGAAGACTTGGGGGAGTAGAGTCCAGCTTTGCTTCTCTTGCTCCTCCCTCCTCCCACACTGCTTACCTTATGTGCTCTTTTACTTATTCTTTTAAACAATTGCTGGGGTTTTTTTGCTTCTTCTGGTTACTTTTTAGTGTAAAAAATTATAGTCTTCTTTTTATTTTCCTTTGTTAAATATTTGATTGTATTTTTCAATATTTATTTTAGATTCTGAGCTCATTTGATTAGTGAGATATAAACAATATTATATTTCATTTTGAAGCAACGTTTCTTATAAAAATAATTTTTGGAGGGATAAAGATGCATTGCACATAATTCTGGAATCTTGGCTGATTTTTAGTGTATTGAAAAATGGAAAGGGAACATGTAGGAATGCTGTACCTCCTTGCCTGCTCCCATAGGCAGTGAAAATGATAAATGCTTGTCATGCTGAGCTTGGTGTTTTCTTCTTATAGGAAGATCTTGGAGCTGCTTATTTCTTACTTCCAGTAACTTAAATAGAAGGTATTGAAGTATTTCTTTTTCTAGCCATGGGAAAAAGTAAAATCTCTATAAACTAGACTGGAAAGAAAATTTCAGTGCTTCTGAAGCAACTTTTTCTGCCTACTAATAGGTATAGTCAAGGGAAGTGAAACAGCTTGCTTTGGAGCAAAGTTTGAGAGTGTAGAGTAATGAAAACTGTAATGAGAGCTTGTTCTCAATTAACAGCTCTCTTCTTGTGTGCTACTTCTCAGACAGTTTTTCAGGGGAAAAAAAAAAATGGAAGAAAGTGGAGATGACTGGCCAGTCAAATACATGGTGTGAATCACTAATAAAAATAAAGTGATCACTCAAGCTAATTCATTTCTATATGAAGCCATCATGGCTGCATCTGTAGCGTAGCTCTGCCACCCTTTAATTCTCAAAACATCCTCTGCTTCTAGGAAGAGAAGTATTACAGCATATTTCTAAGGAAAAATGAGATTTTGAATTTATTCTTTTTCATCTGATCCACTCCCCTTGGAATAAGTACATTCCCAGCGAGCTTACAGGAGACTTTGCTTCAAACATAGCACCAAGTGCATACTGAACAACTTCTAATTAAAAAAACCCTCAAAGATCACTCTAAGTGATGTGATTTACACCAATTCGTTAAGCAAAATGTGTGACAGAAGATGATGAGATTCCATTAGGTGACTTGTCTCCTTCTGCATCTGAATTCCTTGCAAGGAAGAGAAAAAGATTACAGCGTTTGTGTTTTGTAAGGTACCCCATCATAGCTGTGAGCTGGGGTTATGTGTTCTCCTAGACTTGAGCAAGATTTATTTCCCTGTACTTAGAAAGCTGAGTGAGAATATTCACAGAGAATATAAACTGGTTTTTTTCCTCTCTCTTTTTTTTTTTTTTTTATTTTTTTTGGTGTTGTTTTGTTGTGCTTTAGCTCAGCTCCAGTAGTCCAAGGCCACCTCCAAGGCTTCCCACTCCCTGAGCTGAATGGCCACAGGCAGCTCATTATCATGATTTGGTTGCCGTCTCCAGCATTTTAAAAACTCTTTTTCTGTTTCTCTAGCAATAAGAGTGAAGTCATCTGCACTGCGACTCTTAACCCTTTTAAAAAGAATTTCTGTTAAAATATCCGTCAAGAGCCTCAGCATGGGCTGTACGTGCTCTTGCTGTAAAATAAGCATATCACTGAACTTGATGAGTGCCTGGGGAAAGCTGCAGTTGCTGCTTGGTGCCACAGAGTCCCTAGCCAGCATGCTAACATGGATTCGCACCCTGGCTTTACTGTGAGAATGTTAGGAAACACAATAGAGTATTTCAGCTGGAAGGGACTTACAGCAGTCGTCAATACTTGGAAAGTTGCTTCAGTTCTTTCCTTTGCTTTTACCTTCTCTTCTGTCTCTCTCATTTCTGGCATTTCAGCTTGTAAATTCCTTTAGGTTCAGCCTGACACAGACTTGCTGGACAGACGCATTAAGCTGTCCGTGACCTTCAGTGCTTCCCAGAGTGGGACCTCTTTTAAGGCAATGGGACCCTGTTTCCTCTAGTCACCCCTACAGCCCATCCACAGTGCACCCTGCCAGACACATCTTTTGATTTCAACTTTGAATCATTGTAGATATTGCAGAAATTTAAATAATACATGCTGATTTATCCTGAATGGCGAAACCTCATTTCTGTGTGACTGGAGTAGGACTCTGTGTGTGTGTGTGGAAACAGGCTCTTCTGCAAGCAGGCTGCATTGCTGCTGGTCTCTCTTGCTTAGAAGTGATGTCTTACAAAACCAACCACCAGCCATCCCCCATGGCTGCTTTGGCAGTATTGAATTCGTTAGCAATTTGGTCTTTCTGCCTTTTGTATTAAATGGCAGTGCTGGGCTGCAGCTTAGGTCTATGGAAGCATTGGATCTTCTTTCTCCGAGGTCTGCCTATTTCTCTTGAAAGTTTCATCTTTGAGGTGGTTGATTCATGAGTAGGGAGAGGTTTTTCCAGCACTTTAGGAGCATGAATTTAATGTTTACCATATCCTGAAGATTGTTGTTGTGGCCAGAGTAGCTGAATATTGTGCGGCGCAATCTGTCCGCATTTGTTAGGTGCAATATTAAAGCAAATTATTATGGACTTCATGCTCATTTAATGTGCAGGGCCACAGTTTGGAACTAAACTTCTGTATCTCTTTAGTTCCACTAGGAAAAATAGGTTTTGGAGAGGAGTAAGGCCATCAGTGTGCTTTAAAATCTCAGTGTCATTTAAAAATTGAGTCCATTTTCCTTGATCTGATGTTTGGAAAGGACCTGGTTTTATTTAAATTATATTTGGATTTTTTCTGTTGGTGAGAAGACACAGGTGGCAGGAGATACAGTTGGAATTCCTTGCTCACTTTCCTACCAACTCCAGAACAAACCAGAGAGGGAGCTGCCTAGACAAGTTAGGGCACAGTACATTTCTGGTTGTTTATTAGATGCTTGAAATGAGCATGTATTCGGTAAGGCAGCTGTTAAGAATGACTGACAGTAACAGGCTTGTTTGTCTTTAAAGTGAGAACTTGCATCTTGTTGTTTAATGACGGGTTTACAATGGTATTTAGGTTTTGTGCATAAATTTCAGGAGAGTTTTGTCTTGCATTCTCATGAATATGGATAAATTCAATAAACTGAGAGGAGTATTTTGTCAGTTAAAAGCATCTTGAACACCGTTTAAACTGAGGATGTGTGTGCAAGAACTCCAATTCTTGCTTGTCAAAATTTGAAGCCACTCTAACATCTCCTGTGTTATTGTATACAGAACTGTGAGCATCTTGAGTCTGACTGCCATTCTCTGAACTAACTCCTTTGTTAAATCTTTCTACAGTTCTGTAGTAGAGTCATAGAGTCTTGAGTCATAGAGTCATATAGTTCTTGAGTTTCGCGGTTTGTGCTCTGTGGTTTCTTTTTCAGCTTTCTTAAGGATGTAGTTTCACTGCATTTATTTATCTCTCCATTAATGTTTTTTTTCTAAAGACAATGCACCAGTCTGTCCAGTGTCCTGTGTCAAGGGATATCCAGTAGCCAAATTTAGAAATGGAATATGCTTTGCTTGGCTGTTCTGTTTTCAATTATGCCATTGCAGAGGAGAAGAATGTCTGTCTTTCATGTTGCATTCTCTGTGTGCGGGTTCTTGTCTCTGTCATGACGCTGAGAGAGCAATATATATGGAATAACAGAAGCAAAGATTAGCCTTATGGATATTTTAGAGCTTTTATTTATTGCAGGTAATCAAAGTGTATAGTGAAGATGATACTAGCAGAGCTTTGGAAGTACCCAGTGATATAACAGCCAGGGATGTGTGTCAGCTCTTGATATTGAAGAACCGCTATGTTGATGACCACAGCTGGACTCTCTTTGAACAACTTACCCACACAGGTTTAGGTAAGACTAATAATATATAATGATATGATGGTAAATAAGGTGTTTGATTGTCATTTTCACATGGAAGTACAATTGTAATAGAAAGGTTTGGAAGCAAAATGACGGGAAGTCTTGTGTGAATTTTTTCTGTTGTTGCTTCTGATTATTTTTGAAAGCATAGGTATAAACTAGATTTTTTTTTCATGGTATAGTTGCTTCACACTGCTTGATCTGCATCTGTAAGAATGATTTGAAAGACACTAACAGTTAAAGTTCTCACTGCAAATTCTTTCTTACTCTACCTTGTTTTTCTCTGGCAGTTTTTCCTCTCTTATGGGTGGTATTCACTGCTTATCTCTAGAAAGACTTGGGATATTTTCATTGCAAATAAAATCCTGTTTGTTCCCAACACACCTGAGTGGAATATCTGACATAGGGAACAGAAAGAGATTACACAGTGCTATTTTATCTTTACTATAGGACTCAGTTTTCAGAGATAATATCAGAATGGGCTGACATTATTTTCCTACACTACATTTGGTTTGGATAGGTTTATGGTGAACTCTGGGACAGTGCTACTTTAAAAGGGAAAAAAACCCCATTCCTCTAAACTTTCACACAGGACCAGTGTTGAAGCTGGTAGTAGAAGTATTGTAGTGTATGTGTAGTATTTTAAGTTGCAGATAACAAGATGTTCTGAAATCCTTTCACATCAGCAGTGTTCCTCTAGTGTAGTAAAACTCCTCTTTTTGTATTAATACAGTTCAAAATATGTAGTCTATGATTTCAAAATATAACTTCTGATCTCTGCTCCTTTTTGAAGTGTATAGGTGTACTTTTGCAGTATGAAAAACATAAGGCAAATTAATTGTAGGGAGAAAGGGGATGTTTTCAGAGATGTAAAGAATGCAGATTATAGGAAAGACTTTCCTTAGCAGGAGAGGAGTTCAGGAGCCCACTGCTGGAATGTAATATTCAACTGAATCTCAAGTTAGACAATCTTACTTGCTTTTACAGAACTGTGTTTCAGTATTGTGTATGCTTTTGATAGGAAATTATGTTAGAAAAAATCTACTAGAAGACAAATGCCAAAGAAAGATGGTTATAATTTCACATCACTCAAATTTCCATGTTATTCTTGAACTTTGGCGCTGTACTAGAGCTAAAAAAGGTAGTACTTCTGCAACTTCAAGGGCAGTTCCATCTGCTAGTGCAAAGTGTGGCTTGAAAAAGAGGATGTTCTGGATGCCTTCCTGCATTCTAAAATACATAGAAAACTCCATGGAGTTCTTAATTCTCAAAAGAGACTGCGCTGGTACATGGTAACTCCAGTGCTGTTGATTTTAAAAAAAATGTACATACCACAAACAAAAATCAAACACCCCCACAAACATTTTCCCTGGCCACTCACTCTCTCCCTTCCCCCCAGATATTGAAATATGGCTGAAAGCTATTGTTAAAAGTGTTTCTCTGGATGTATCTAGGGAATCCAGACTTGTGCATTTGTTGAAAATAAACTTGACTGTGTATCTCTGACTCAATTATGTTTAACAGCTGTATTTTAAGGGTGAACTACAAAAGCTAAAACTATTTTCTGCCCTTTTATACTCCTTTATCCTATGAAGGCAGACACAAACGTTTTTCAAATTTCTTTCTTTGCTTTGTAAGATTTCAAAGACATTTGTAACCTTTGGAACTGGATGTATCAGCTGTAAGATGCTTCCAACACATAGTAAGGTCAGAGTTAAATCTGGGTTGAGGCTGAAAATGACTGCTTTAGAAGAAGAGGTAACAAAATGGCTTTAGAAAACAGTACTATATAAACAGCAGAAGTGTTTCCTATATTTTATAGTGTAGCTGGTGTTCAAGTCATGTAGTAACTATTGAAGAAGACACCTTTGAGAAAGCATGCCAGAACAACAATGGCACTGTGTTTTCTTCAATCTGGAGGATTTCTTGGAAGATTTCAATATCAAGTAATTAGTAAAATTGGTTTTCCTAATATGCTGATATTCTCGAAATTGCTGAAGACCTTCATTCATCATGCAGTCTTATAATTGCTCCAGCTGCTTTCAGTGTAATTCTAGAAAAAGGTGAATGCTTCATTTTAAAACTAAAATAATTTTCTAGATGTTTTGATTGACAATTCAACATTACTGGCCAAGAAAAGGAACAATTTGAGATATCACCTGTACATTTTTAGAGTACTTAACAATAATGGAGTTATTTTTATAATACTGTTTTAGATCTAGTTTTGTTAGAAAGAATTAACGGACTCGACCTGCTTTAAGTATATTCTTAAGCACTGGAAGAGTAGTTTGAACAAATATTTTTCAAATGATGGATTAGTTTGGGATTGTTTTCTATTTGTTATTGTTGTATGTTTTACCCAGGTAAATTTGGAAAGTCTTTTTCATCTCATAAGTTATGTGAATTTTTATTGAAAGGAGAAGTGCTGTGAGCAAATGTGTGTGTCTGTGTAAACTCCAGGATGATGTGGATTAATAATTCATCCATCAATTACTGAACATTTTCTTTAAAATCTAACAGCTGTCTGAATACTCCTGAATTAGATATAATTGCATGAATCTTAGTGAGCTGAGCACGGTGTTCTACTTTTAATCAAGACAGACATTAATTACATCACTGGATTGTGCCTTCGTTGCTGTGTGGAGGTATCTGCTGTGAAGGTTTAAAAAGGAAAAAAATCCAACAAAACTCCCACCTAAAGCAAAGCATGAACCCACGGTCTCTACATTTCAGTTTTCACAAACATATATGCCCTTCAGTGCAGAGCTCTCTTGTTGAACACGAAGGATGGTTGTGTCCTCACTGCACCTGGCCCACTGCTGCTGCTTTGTCAGCCAGCAAGCTCAGCCTTCCTCCCCACCTCCCAAGTTTTGCAGTAGCAGGGGTTCTATTTAAAAAAATCTGAATTTCAGCAATTATTTCAGCTCTATAAATCAATATATTTCAGAACTGTGTCTTTCTGGTATGTGTTCTTTTTATTCTAACATTGAATTCAAATGCAATTTTGAATGGTTTCCACGACGTCTGAGATCTTTGAAAGCAGCTGAAGTGTGCCTAAATTTGGATGATACCATGTCATCCCTACACCAAGTACCTTGGTGCTGGGAGTCCCAAACTTCCACTGCAATTCTCCTGAGGAGGGCAGGCTCTGAAAACTGAACAGTTATCCATAACTGCTCTCCTTTGTAAGGGAAGTACTCTCTTCATCCAGAAATTTTTCCTTTCCTACTGAGACATTTTTGTGCCGACTGTAAACAGTTTTCTGTTTGCTTCTGCATCTGAACACACATGTTCTAGGGCTCCTCTTTTGAGTAGAGGGTAGTGCCTTGGCCAGCTTCATCATCAGTATCTTTCAGTCACACTTTGATTTCAATCTGCATTCTTTCAGGTAGTCTGGGAAGGCTGGGAAGGCTCATAAATGCTCATAAAACCTGTGCAATAGTGCTGAGCAATGTCTTTCTATTTTTTATTTAGTTTAATTTTTTTTCCCACTGGGTGACTAGAGAAGAGGCTTTTTGAAGTGTGTTCTATCATGGACTCCAACATGAAATCTTTCATGTGCATTAAATACTTTCCATAGCTAAGGAGGCTGTTGAGGACTGTAGCAGGTGCTCCTCATGTTAGAGATAGCAGTAATAAAGAGATGATAGAAAGGGAGGTAGAAACTCTCCAGTCTAGTTGGCAGACAAAAATGATCTACCTAAACTGAAAGGCAGCTTTTTCATGTCACCATTTAGGGATTTGATTACAGGGTTGTTTTTTGGAGGGTACTCAGTGTTTCAGTTGCTTCAAAAAAGTAACTTTACTCAGTTATACATTTCTTGTTATTTTTTTTTTTTCTATGACACCTTAAAAATAAAGAAGTATCAGCACCTTTACCCATCCTTTGGGGTGATGCACAATGTCATATTTTTCTACCAAGAAGTAAGTCTTGAGGAAATGGTGTTTTCTTAAATGTCACAATGCCAAGCATTTAAGAGTTTTAAATGTCATCTCAGAGGAGCACTTTCTATAAAACTGAAAGGAAAAAAATGCTGTTTTTAACTATGAGCTTCAGTTCTTCAGAGTCTCTTTGCCCTTGCATCTGAAGAATGTGTTTTGGAGTAGTACAACCTGTACAAGGTTTTAAAATGCTTACTTTACTTTCACTGTTTTTGGGTATTTTTTGGTTTATGAATTTCTTTATGGTTTTATTTGCTTCATTTAATCTGGTTACAAAATGGGATTTTTCATATAGCATTCTTAATCTCTACTCAAGAATTGGTTAAGTTCAATGAAGAATGAGTTAAAATCAATGGAAGTTTAACTTTGCTGCACTTTATCTGTAGATCATGAACTTAATATTTGCTTTTGCATTTTCTTTTACATTTTTTTGGTTATCTTATAGGAAGAGCTATAGAAGACCATGAATTAGTGATGGAAGTTCAATCAAATTGGGTAATGGAAGAGGAAACCAAACTGTATTTTAGAAAAAATTATGCAAAGTATGAGTTTTTTAAAAATCCTTTGGTAAGTCCTAACATTATACATGTGAAGTCGTGTGATTACTGTTCCTAAAAAAGTCTTTTTTGTTGCACACAGATAGTCAGAGTTGAAGTTTTTTAGTGTAACAGGAGTCAAACGGAATAATCGAGAGGGAATATGTGAAATACAGGAATGTATTGAAGTGCATGTGATCATTGGCTGGTCCTTTTCTTACAGTTGCAAAACATCTGTGTTCATTTTTTATTTTTGGGGATGATGAGAGCAGCAGTGGGTTTAAATGTATTGAAATTTGTACACAGGCATAAAACAAAATTAAATTTTTGCAACTCAGTGAATTTTTCTTTGAGTGACAGCATATTATATAATGAAGCAGTGTGAGGAGGGGCACCTGTAGCAAAGATGATTTTATTGTTTAAGTGAAAATTGAATGTTCTGCCCAGCACTGCCCAATTGCAGCTTCTCCCGGCTGTAGCTAAATGACAACTGACACAAAAGGCATGAGCAGCCATAACCTATTAGGGGTAAGTGAAAGTGAAGCCAAAGTTAGTGTACATAAGGAATGGAAAGAGAGGAGAGATGTCTTGTAACTCAGGGATGTTGCCAAAGGTTAATGCTGCTGATTCAGACCTTGGCTGATGGCAAAGGCCATGGAAGCAGTCCTGGCTCAGCGGAAGGAACTCACCATCTGGTTGCTCCATGGTGTATTTGGACAACTCCTAATGCTGTCTTTTATAAAGTCAGCTTGTTTCAGATGTAAAAGGGAGAAACAGCAGAACTGTGTGAGGGCTTAAAAGGTAAAAAGTGAAAGGGAACTCAGATTATCTATCTGTGAGAAGGATAAAAAGGTAAATATAAAGGTAAAAGAAAATAGAAGAGTTTTGGGAATTTTTTTGTTTGATTGATCTGTGTGTCTCTGGACGAATGATAAATTTGTCCCAGATATATAGAGATATCTATACCAGTGAAAAGTTTTTCAGCTTGAGGTGGTCTACAGTTAGTAAAGAAGCTTTCAGAATCACAGAATAGGTCAGCCTCCCTGCTCTAGAGTCATCCCAGAACACGTGGCACAGGATTGCATCCAGAGTGTTCCTGAATATCTCTATTGAGAGAGATTCCACAACCTTTCTTGGCAATCTGTTCCAATACATGATCACCCACACAGTAAAGAAGTTCTTCCTCATATTCAAGATGGAATTTCTATGCATCAGTTTCTTTCTGTTGCCTCCAAAAATAAGGTTTATGTACTGTTTAACCGGTGAGTGGAACCAGCTGTGGAGCATGGCAGACCTGCAGCTACACCAGCTTCAGCAGCTACAGCTAAGCAAAGTTCTTCGGGGTGTTCTAGTCCCAGCTGTAGCAGGAATGCTTTATCATAATGAATTAATATGAATTAACCCTACCAGCAGCTGATTTTCATGAGAAATGAAAATTTCTGGACATTGGGTGGCCAAGGGAATATTAACTTCAAACTTGTCCAGGCTTTGAGAAAATGTTACTTGTGATGGTCAAACCCTTGTCTGGTTCATATCTGCATGCCTGTATTGAGCACCCCAGCTGCAGGTCTGTCCCATAAATTATCCTTTGAGCTTTCCTTGATAATAAAACTGGCATTTTGATTGTAGACTTTTAACCCTACCATGTTGATATAGTCAGATTTTTTTTGTTAATTTGTAGAGTACATAAAATAGAAGATTAAAAAAAAAACTGAGACAACTTTTTCTGTGTTAGTGAAAGTTATTCCAAAATATTCTAGTGTAATGAAAAAATAGATAACAATACACTTTTATAACATACATGTTGGTATATAGCCTCCTTACTTTGTAGCATATTGAATCCTCAGGCAAATTTTATATGTTAACAGCATAGAAATTACTGCTAGAAAAGCAACACTAAGGGCCAAACATTGCAATGTGATTTGCACTGGTGTCTGAAACCCTCTTCTAGAGACTATCAATGTTTTCTCAAAATTCTATGTTTTTCAGCAAATAAAATATGGCATGTGCCAGATTTTGGGATGATATTAAGGTAAGCTTAAATTATTGGATCAGGGAATCTTCAGTGTCTTGCACTGCATTAAGAACTTAAGTTGCACATACAAAAGAGAAAGTTTTATATTTATTTCTACAGAACTTTGATACAAGTTCTTGTTGTTACAGAGCTTTTTTCCAGATCACATGATATCTTTTCCAAGTGAGACCAATGCAGATCTAAGCCACTCTGGAATATTACAGGTATGTAATCCTTGAACGAAGATGAACCAGCACACCTCAGTATTTCCCATTATTTGTGTTGTGTGAGCATACTTCCTTATTGCTGTTGGATCTGTTTCTAGGTTTTGAATAACCCAAGACATGGCTAATAACATTTTTCCTCAAGAGATATGAAACTATATGTCCCTTCTAAGCAGCTATTTTATGTCCACACTTGTAAACTTAAGAATGAAGAAGAACCAAAACAGAGAAAAGACAGTGAAAACATTAAATATCTTTATTGCATATTTCAGGTGAAAGACCCTTTTTCCTTTAATAGGGTGCTGAATAGTGCTGAACAAACTTAGCAGCAGGCTGTGGTAGAATACCAAAGAATTGATGATGTGATACAAATGGATATAAAAAAGAGTTAAATGGTTAAACTTAATGGGGAGAAAATTTAGACTGACTAGTATGATTTGTTAGCTTGAAGGCTACTGTAGCCTTCAAAAAAAATTATGGTAGGTCACTCGGCGTTAGTCATCTTTTAAGCAGACACAAGATTCTGATTTACAGTGGGAATAATGAAATGAAAATATAGAATGACCATATCAGGGATCATCGTCTTACTTTCAAAGAGGGGAAAAATGAGTAATAAAGGTGGAAACATACACATTACTCTTGTTTGCTTGTCATTAGAAAAATTAAATAATAGAAGAAGAACTTCCACCGGTTTTAAGACAGCAACCCTATGCATGAGCTGTGGGGATAAAGAATGATGGGAAAGGCAACATAATAACACAGGATATTTAGAGCAGAAGCAAAAGGAAAATAGAAATTACAATTTTTTAAAAATATATACGATAAAGTCTATTTTAGCATCCACCAGTAAATGAAAACATTTTAAGTTACTAATTCTCAAAGCATTCTTTCATATTAAATAGTTACAGCCTTCTAAAAGTGGATGTTAATCAAGATGTTAAGATTATCCCAAATATAGTAAAAAATTTTGCAAATTAAATTTGACACGCTAGATTCTGTAAGTAAATTTTACAAACCTAAATAAAATTTTTATGATTTCCAAACTGCTGCAAATGTAACGAAAATTGTTTCCCTTTTGCCACCTACATAACACAAATTTTGCAGTCTAGCATAAACATTTAATTTAGAAAATTCTGTCTTCTGTGTTTAAAGAACTTTATATTTTTTGCTCAAAAATGTAATTTAGTAGTTAAAAAAAATAATGAAGACTTTTATAGTAGAACTGTTTGCCATATATTCTTGTGCAGAACTTCTTTAAGCCCCATGTGAGATCTAGAGTATGTTCAAAGCTGGTAGATAAGATTAAGAATCATTCTGAACAGCTGCCATTTTGGTAGCTTGAAAAACATGTAGCAGACTCTCCTCTGTTGCTATTCTGTGTTGCATTGTATGTTTAATTGTATTTCATCAAATAAAATTTAATAGGCACAAAGTAAAGAATACCATGGTGGATTGTGTAGCCATTGTGCACATTTCAGCAGAAACTGTTGGGTAAATTGTTTACAGTGAGTCACTATTTCCTTGGAAACTTTCATTAAGACAAGTTAATGGGCTGCATTATTATTTGTGATGTGCTTGGTTAAGTATCAAAAGAGACATCAATTTGACAATTCAATGCTTACAAGTGATTAAAAAATCACTTCTGATACTTTTACATCCTTTTGTGGTTTGAGCTGTAAGCAAGTAAAATGTTTTCAAGATCTTCCACTTTCAATTCTCATTGAAAGTGGAAGAGTATTTTGGCTGATGATTTTGAATGAGAACATCTTTGTAGAACAGAACCACAAAAACAGAAGAGAAGTTCATCTGTCTCCTATCCATTTAGCATGTGCTAAGTAAAAGTACTAGGTGTGGGATATAGAGAATGTCCGCATGTGTCAAAGACAGAGGTTTAATTGCTGCCATGAAGATCTTTAGCCTACAAAAGAGGTGTGTCACTGTATTGATCAGGGTATAGCTGCTCTGAGGCACAGCACTGTATGTACATGTCTAGTGGTAGGCAGTCTGGGTCATTTGGAACTTGCTTTAGGCTATTTTTTGGAAATTGGATGTTTTAAAATATGTCAAAATTGAACATAGTATAAAGATTTTAAGGTCATTATTTGGAGCCAGGCTTTCGTTTCTTTAATCTTTTTGCCATAGCAAGTCTCTCTTTCCCTAACCAGTTTCTCACCTGACTGCCATTCTGGGCTTCAGGCTGAAACAGACCTGCACTCAATTTCAGTCTCTCATCAATCTCCTGAATGTTGTTTTAATCTCCCCATTGCCTTACTCTGTCTTCCACTCTAAGCTTTGTTGGCATTCCAGTCTGAAACTCTCAGGTGGACTGGAGTCTATAGGAGACTTCAGTATTGAGATTCACAATCAATTCTTCCCTAGAATTACTTGGTGTCCCCAAAATTTCTCAGCAGGTTTAGGGTAAAAATCCAGCTCATTCCCAGTAGTGTCAGTCTGGATCATGGCTACCTGTCTTCACATATTTGAAGAAATCAGTCATCAAATTCAACATGATTCACAAAGTCTTAGTATACTGATGGCTTCTTTAACTCCCCAAAACATGCATAAATACTCAAGAAGCATCCACCTTAGCAGATATTGTTGTTTCTGCTACTGCAGCTATTCTTTCTTCGAAAATGTTGAAGATGTAGACAAATAAGTTTTATAGTTAGGAGTGCAGCTCTCCGTCTTTATCAAATTCAATGACATCAAGGATTTCTGCATTTTTCACTATTATATTCATCTGACACAGTGCAATGTTGTTGTTTTTTCACTTTCTGATTCATTTTTGTTTATTTGTTTAGGGTTGTTTTTTTTTGCAACAAAATATTTTTATTTGCTTTGATTCTTGTTCAGATTGGTTTCAAATTAGTTGGTTTACAGGTAATCAAATGGTAATCAAGTCCTTAGTGCTGTGTATACCAGTATCTGAAAGACGTGGTGGCATTTGACACCACTCTGCTTATCAGGGTATATATTTCACTGTGTGGGGAAAAGGGTGCAAGTTTATTTCTGCATATTGTGTGATCAGTATCCCTGTCTGCAGCATACTATCATTTAGCTCTCCCCTCTTCTTCCAGTATTAAGGATTTTTCTTATTTTTATTTGCATAAACAGGGCTCCATTCCCTCCTGTAAAAAACTTGTATGTACCTCCATTAAAAAATCAACCAACAAAACATGAGAGCCCCCAACCTGAAACAAAAACCAACCTGAAAAAAAAACCATCACAAGGAAATTTTCTTTTCTACTATCATTCATTTTTGGCATTTATTACAGACATTCAGTTCTCACTCTGAAATATTTTTACTGCTCATCTTTCTGACAGTTAATGGTTTTGACTACAGCTTGTTCATGTTCTATTTTCTCACACAGTCCTCAGCTGTCTTAGAAAGGAAAAGATGGATTTAAGATTGCCTTTTTCCTAGCATTGCTGCTACTTTGTTTTAATTGATAGCATGGGTACAACAGTGACTGTCGAAGCTTAGCATTGTATTCTCCTCCACTTTGGTCTGCTGAGTAAGAGAAGTGTTTTTCATGACAGCATTTCTGGTTTTAAGCTCTTATGGCATAAATCCTGGGGAAGACACTTGTGCAGGCAGGAAGCCAACCACTCCTTTTAGTTTCAGCAGAGACATTAAAGCCTAAAAAGATGCTCTTTTGTTTTTGCATACATTGACTCATTTAGATTTTACTAAAGCTTTCATTTGACTTTGTTCATGGATTTTGTACTTTTTTAGTTCAGCCTGTATGTTTCCCACCAGTGAACCTGTTAGTACGTGGCAAAAGGGAAGATTAACAGCCAGAACATTTACCAAGCCCTGCCTGTCTGCTTCAGCGTGGCTAAAATAGCTTAAACTGCATTTGCACACAGCTGTGTGCCAGCAGCACGTGTAGATAGATGTATCTAGGCTTACTGTAATTGAACTGTTCAGGTGAATAGCAGTGGAGCTGCTCATAATGCAGTCCTGGTAGTGGGCTGGGGCACTCCCCTGGCCGGTGGAGCCCTGCTCATGTTACTGCATTCACACCAGCTCAGGTTGGTCTGCACCTGCTACAGTCATGCATCTCACTGCAAGGCAGGAAAACAATAAAAGTCAAAGAACCCTTGTATATTTTGGTTGAACTGTATTATTTAGTGGCCAGAGAACTTGGTGTGCTTCCAACATCAGGTTCACTTTTTAATTCTGCTGGAGTCCTGTACTGGCCAGTCCATATCTCACTTTGTAATCTTTTGTTTCACTCCTCAAATAAGATTTTCTGGAAATAGAAGTGGATAGAAGGAAAATTCAGCAATGAAAACTGCAGATACCGAGTAGAAAATCCTTTGTGCCATACCTCTATATAAGCCTTGACAGAATTTATGATACCAGAGAGCAGTCCTGGGGCAAGGTTCCTTGAAGAACTCAGTAATAGTTTCTGTGGCATATACAGAAATAGAACAATTCTGGGTTAATATGTTTAGAGGCATAGTTCTGAGTAGTGTTATTGGAAGAAGAGTGATAAAAATAAATGCATTACATGGAGTTAGGGTAAAGTTAACATGGTTGCTCATTTTTAGTGGGTACTTTTGCAGACTGAGTAGACCTGTCTAAGCCTCAGCAAGATAAGAGCTGTGTTGCACTCTGACAATGTCTGATGAAATGGCTGAAGAGAAGTCACAGAATAGCCTGAGTGGAGGCAGGAGCTGTCTTGGGGATTGGCGCAGTCTCTCTGATTTTGGTTTAACTAAAGCTCCTCCTTAAGCACCTTTCAGGTGCAGAGAACTTTATTCCCTCCTTTTGAAAATGCTAATATCTGCCTGACGTGCATGGGTTTGTAATTCAGAGTTTATGGTTTGCTGAATTAATTTTAACTCAGGTCGTGTAATTTTTCTGGTTTGTAACGTGGTGGGTGAGGGGAGGGACGTAACTTTTTTCTTCTGTTGTTAGCCCTGATTAGCAGTTTTATATAAATAGGGTCTGAGGCATGGGATCAGTACTTCTTCCACTGGTTTAGTTGCAGAAGTTCACATATTGCAGAAGTAATGCTCTCATTTCAAACCATATGGTTACATATAAATATGTAACTTGCTTAGCCTACCTTGGAGTTGTGTAACATTCTTACATGCCTTAAATCAGAGAGGTACTGTTAATAGGATTAGATGCAGTCATAACTGAATTACAGTGGTGTGATAGTGTCTTTAGGAGTTATTCCCCTTAGCCCTGAGTATGGTAATGAAACACAAAGCTGGTTTCAGAGGAAAAGAAAAATGCATGTCTGATACTTTCTTTCAGATGTTTCTTAGCTCCAGCACATATCCTGAGATTCATGGTTATTTGTATGCAAAGGAGCAGGGGAAAAAATCATGGAAAAAATTGTACTTTCTTTTGAGAAGATCTGGCCTTTATTTTTCCACTAAAGGTACATCTAAGGTAAGGGAGGAAAAGAGAGAGAGCAAGATCTTTGAAGTCAGAGAAAATATGTATGTATTTATCATTTTGTTGTAATAATAACAACCAAAATTTATAACAAATAATTAAACTTATAGTGATAAAAAATAAAAAAATAAATTTAGTTATATAGATAAAATCTAGAGAGATATGGAGATAAAAAACTGGGAAGGTGTTGTCTTAGAAATTGTAGTTTCTTTTTGCCTGGTAAGTTTGCTTCATCCTGGTTGATATTTCTCATAACAGAGTACCCTGTTAAAATGAATTTTCAAATACTAATTAAATTTCTGAAGTATGAGTAGATTTTCTGAAAAGTAGATATAGTAATTAATTATATAAAATAAGAATTTTTATAGGACAACTTTGTGAATTCTCAAAATTTGTCACTGGACAGTTTTTCATTTTACTAGTTCAAATTTTTGATGGTGATATGTTTAGCCTTATCATATTAAACACTGGAGTTGAGAAACCTTTTATATAAATTATTCAAACCAATGTTTATTCATGTTTTGGATTTTCTGTAATTACCTGCCAAAGTTTTCATTGAGCAGGTTTGTATCCTTAGGCAAATTTATTTTGTTTCCTTTCTTCCTTGACATATATACCTTATTATGTCAATACTAAGGTTATTATTAGAGGGTAGAGATAATGGTTACAAATAGTACTGTGCAATAATTCTAACAGTGTGTTGTTTTTCAGTTTTTTTGTTTTGATGTTTGAAATGCATACTGCTCTCAAAACTTGCCTCCTACTCGAAGTTTATTATTGCTTGAATTTAGTGGAAGTTTTCTCAGAAATTATATAACTTGTAGTCTGAGGCTTTTTTGCCCTCTGGAAGAATAAACTCTTTGACTGGTTTGATTTTTTTTTCCCCCTTTGCATTATGAAATGAATATTGAGTTGCTTCTTTTTAGATGTCATGATGTCATGGTTAAAACTGCAATTTGTAAGACTGTATTTTGGAACAGGATAACTACTGTACTCTTCCAAGTTTCTTATCTGGAGAGGCTGGCTAAAAGTAGTCTAACTGTATTACATTACTTTTCTTTTTAGGAGCCAAGGCATCTGCAGTTTTTCTGTGAATTCAGCAATAGTGATATGTACATGTCTTTAACAGGCAAAAAGATTTCTGGAGCACCAACAAACTATGGATTCTGCTTTAAGGTACAAACTTACTATTCTGATACATATTAAAGCAAGCCACAGCTTTTAGGTAAGCTTAAGTTTCTTTAAAGCTTTGAAAGCAATATTCAGCTGTCTGTTATAAAATAGGAGAATTAGTGGCTTTTATTTCAACAGGTATTATCTTCAAGATATGCTTTAATGCTAAAAAATGTGCTGTGGCCTTCTAGCCTAACAAATCAGGAGGAACCAGAGACCTGAAACAGCTCTGTGCAGATGATGAACAAAGTAGGACCTGTTGGATGACAGCAATTAGGTTACTCAAGGTAATTTTTTTGTTTGGAGTTAGCTTCTTGCATAAGTGTGCTATGTGATATTTTGCTGCTGTGAGTAGAGAGGTAACATCATTTTAGGTTCCCATGCAATAGCAGTATCAATTTTGTATGAAAGCAGTTTTTTTTTTTTCATCCCAACAAGAAGAGACAGACCGAATCCTGGAATCATTGTAAGGGATGGAATGATGCCTCAGTTCTGAAAATATTTAGCATTAAACATATGCTTCTGTGTAACCATGTTGAATTCAGTGAGATTGCTGAGTACTGTTGAACACAAGAAGGGAACTTTAATGTTTTTAAAATGTGACTGTTTGTGACAAAATAGGAACAGGCCACTTGGTATATTAAATGGGTAGTATTTAATGCAAAGTGTACATTTAGAAAGGCAGCAGCAGCAATGTTGATGTAAATTTCCTTAGCCTAACATCTTTTGTCCCTGGTTTTAAATGGTAAAGAAAAGCGTGTGGTATCTTTTTCATCTGAAAAAAACCACCTTGTTTGGCTTAGGTTTATAATTTAAAATGCTAACCATGTTATTTTCTGGTTTTAGTATGGGATGCAGCTGTATCAGAATTACATGCAACCATATCAAGGTAGAAGTGGCTGCAGCCCTTTGAATATAACACCTATGGTATGTCCCACAGTAGCTCCATGAATAAATACATGTTTCTGCCATTGTGCTCTTTTCAAGTAACTTGTGTCAGTTACACCACTGACGTGCTCCTTCGAAACCTTGCATGTGCAAACGCTTGCCGAAATATTTAGGGCTGCCAGGGTTGACTAGAGAGCTAATTAATTAATTTCCTTCAAACAAATGAGTTTAAAGGATTTTTCCCTATGTAAAATCTCCAGTATTTTGGGAGTTCATTGGCTTGGTACTGTTGAATGAACAGAAGATTTTGAACAAAGCAGCAGAACCGTAAATGCATTAAAAGAGAAGCAAAGTGTTTAAGGTTACATACACAGGCTGATGAATAAAGGTTGTAACAAATCCTTTTTGATATACTTTCTCTTTTAATTCTAAAAAAATTATATAAAATATTATGTACTTGAGATGAATTTCAGCTGATGTAATACTGACTGGACTTCAGAGAAAAATCATGATTTAGCAGATGGTCTACCCTGTTTTGGAGAAAAAACAGCCTATACTATACATTGTGTCCATCTTCTCAGTCAGATAGTTGGAATTGGATGAGGTTGTCCATTTCGTAGTATCTTATGTTATCCCAGCTCTTCATGAGTCATTTGATTTCAGACTTTTTCATGGATGATTTATATCCCTTTTGTGGTTTGTGTTGGCTAAATTGGATAAAAATTACTTGTTGCCGAGATACGTGATAATGAGTTTATGGTGATTGTTTTTTTAGCTTTGCCTTTATTATAGTTCTTGCTGATAAAATGCCTAAGAAATGCATTTGCTATCACAGGTATTCACAAAAGTAGCTTTCAGTGATCTTGCTAATAAGCATGGCTTATTAAGCATGTGCTTAATATGCTGCCTGTGTCTTACTTTGTGTTATGTGAAGCTACTGCAATAGCCAGCTGCTGCTCTTATGATGGATCAGGGAACCACAACTGATTCTTTCCTCTTTCACTGTTGTGTGCGTTTTAGCTCCCATGGCTTCTAAGAGGCAGAATCCATACCCACTGCTAACAATGGCACTGTTTTTCTACTCGTGTATAATTCATGAAATTGAATAATCTGGGGATTAAGTACACATGCTAATGCATATACTGCATAAGGAATCCACTTCCACATTTCACATTCCTTAATTTCTCAACCATGTCAGCTAAAAAGGGTTCCCTCCACTCTGCTAGAGGCAAATATTTTGTCTTAATTTGCCCTTGTTTTTTCACTTCTGCAAAGTTCTTTACAGGTTACAGTTACTCAGATAGATCTTAGTCTACAGAGTCAAGAATTACAGTGAACTACAGAATTGCTGTCTTCCATTTCTAGTTATAATGCTTGTAACCAAGCAAAAAAAAAAAAAAATAAAAATACCAGAGCTCCTCTGGTTTTGGACTGGGAGGCTACAGAAATCTGGGCCTCTTGTGTCCAGATGTTGCTTTAACTTACAGAGTGCTAGAATGCTCTTTTATTTATTACATATTCCAGTGCCTGCCAACATTTGAGCCATCATGATTCTAATAAAACCTGATTTTGTAAACCTTGGTTTCTGAGAAACATTTTGGTGATTTTTTAGGACTATTTTGTCAAACCTCAATGTTCTTATTCAGTTTTTAAAAATTTGATCTTCACTGAGAGGAAAAAAACACAAGCATTTTTTTGTAACAGATGCTGCAGTTTTTGAGTCTGTGATTAGAGTTAGAAGAGATGTATTAAAATAGAAGTTATATGCTATAGAAATTGCTCTTTTCAATGCTTAAATATGGTAAACTGAATGGTAATTTATATAGCAAACCTATAAATCCAATATATTTCTAATGAAATATCTTGAATATTTTTTAATTTCATCATTATATATAATAATTTTGTTTGTTACCTTTTTTTCCCTTTTACTTGGACATCTTAGTAACAGTTTCCTGACCTGTTTGACATGGAAAGGGCTCGTTATAGTTAAAAATATAAATACAGTTTATGGTAAAGTGATATATTTGTCATCCATTGCAGTAATGCAAAAAGATGGTCTGTCCTGCCAGACTATAAAATTGAGCTTTGCGGCAGCATACTGGAATTACAAATGCTCCCCAGGGTAAAATGAGTTTGGCTCTGATGGGAAACACTGCCAATACTTGAAATATCACTTACAAAACATAATGTTTTCTCAGAAGCTCACTTTTAAATGATGAATCTTGTAAAAAGTGAGCAAACTAAACTTATTTTCTTTGTTGCAGAGAAGCATTTCAGAAAATTCTTTAGTAGCAATGGATTTCTCAGGACACAGAAGCAGAATTATAGAAAATCCAACAGAGGCCCTTTCAGTTGCAGTTGAAGAAGGATTAGCATGGCGGGTATAAAAACCTTTGATTTATCAGAATAGTTTTTTCTGGCTTGGTGTTTTGGTTTGGTGTTTTGTTTGTTTGGTTTTTTTTTTTTAAAAAAAGAGCTTTGTAGTCATGTTTTTGCTTCTCTCCCATACAGAGGAGAGGGTGTCTCCGACTCAACTCTCATGGTAGTCCTATTGCCATGTCTAACATGGGTATGTGTGAATTAATTCCTTGCCCGAGAAATGCAAGAAATGCAATAACTGATTCTTTCAATAAAGGGAAAATGTTTTCTCACTGATCTTTTTTTCTACAGCTATACACAGATCTCAGTCATGGTTCCATCATAAAATCTCTAGAGAAGAGGCTCAGAGACTCATTTTGCAGCATGGACTTGTAGATGGGTAAGTTAATTCTTTACATAGCTTCTCTGAGACATGCTTCTAGCCAACAACTCCTATTTTCATATGCCTCTTACTGGGAGGAGGTTGAGAAAGAAGTTTGCACTTAGCTAATAGGAATAAAAATTCTTTTCTATAGGGCTATCTGGGGATCAGTTGGTTCCTATTTTATATCATTTGGAAACAATGAGGTGGTGATGTAAAACTTCGATTCTGTCACTGTCTGATTACTCATGTCCATTCAGAGCCAAGCACTAGAGCTGTGTCTTTGCACAGGATTTTCTGGGAGCTGTCAACCTTGGCAGACATCGCTGTCATTTGTATCTCTATTAGTGATGAAAGAGTGAAAGAAGGCCTGAAAACGTTATTCGTAAGATGAACCGTACTGGGACAGACATTGAAAAAAGTATGTTTTTTTCTCATGAATTGGCTAAAAATTGTGTCATCCTTTAATAGTAAGCAATAAATGTTAGGATGAGACTTTAATTTTTTAAATATTTCATTTAAATATTAATTTAAAAAATGACAAAACAAGTAGGTGTTTTATATTCAAATCCTCCTGCTTTTCATTCCTGCACTTAGTCCTGTATGAAATTTAAACTCAGGCCTCCTTCATTCAATGAGTATTTCTATGAAAGGCTCAGTTTCTTTGAGTCTGCTTCCAGTTAGGTACCTGAAACATCAGATTGCTGGTTAAATTCCATCAGTTTTAGAGTAAGTCTGTTGTAGTACTACTTTCTACATCTACAGAAAGGGCTTCAGGAAAAAAAAATAAAGGGAAGGAAAGGGAGACAAATCAGGTCATAATCAGCACAGGGACGATTAGTTGGACTTCCACTTTCTTATTTTCAATTTTTAATTTTTTTAATTTCCGGGGTGTTTTTATAAAGCCTGGCTTATCATCTTGAAGTTAGTTCTGTGCTCTGCATTTATTTTTGCATTTGATAGAAGAGTAGGACAGGCCATGGGGATGAATCCAACATATATTTCTGAGCAGGATATCATTCCAGGCCTGATGCATCTTCCAGTGTATTTCTTACACACACAGAGTGAAATGAGAAAGTGAATAAGACATTGTTATCATTTGTTTACTCCAGAGTTGTTTATGCTGTATTATTGGAGCCATTCATGGTTGTGCAGTGGGATTTTGAGAAGGATGATGCTTTTGTGTGGACTGCCTAGAGTTAATTTGAACACTGATAGTAGGAGTGCTTATGTGCTGTCAGATAGATATTCAGGAGTTACTCTGAAGTAATGATCACATGACATCATGTGTTGACATCATTTTGATGAGCTAAAAGCATGAATTGTCACCAGAAATACAGCCATTTTTAATGAGAAAAACAAGACTAGTTTCCAGAGTGAGGGCAGAGAAAACAATCCATATTGATCCTTTTAAGGTGATCCCGAACAAGGAGCTCTCACACATACAATGACAAGGGATAGGGCCTCTGTAATACTCAATGTACCAACAAATATGTTCATGATGGCTTTTACAAGATAAGGAGGCAATTATATAAACTAACTACAGTAGTTGTAGTATTTGGATAACCCAATAACAGATTTAGGGACAGCAACAATCTTAAGGCATGCTATGATGGAAGAAGGTTTTGGGATCTGGTGTTAAACCAACTTTTTAAAATAAGTTCACATGGTGATATTGTAGATTTTGTATTTTATCCCCTAAAGTATGTTTGAAGACTTTTCAGTGGTAAGTTGTTGGCAGGATTGCAAACTGATCAGCATCTGATTGATGAAGGGGTAAGAGCATTACCAAAAACCCCATGGAAAGGTCTAACTTGTCGTTCAGAGAAGTTCATGAGGCAGAAGTTGACCAGAGTCATCCAGCATGTCTAAAAAGCTCCTTCCAGCCAACATTTGAGATTCTGTGAACTACAACTCATTCTTCTTAACGAAGTTTTTAAAAGCTCTTTGACAACTTAAGTAGATCTATTGTGATTATGTTAGAAAATAATAAAGATCTTTTTATCTGAAGGAGAAGACATATTGCTTATATTTGTGATAAAACAAGGAAAGCAATAAGAAAATGTTCTTGAAAGAACTGTTGAATGGGAACTTAAATCCCAATCAAAGTGATTACATCGTGTATCATTTAATGTGGATCCTAGTAATAGGGTATAGAGACCCCATTTTAGATATCTGCAAAGTGGCACACTGTTACGGTGTCATTTTTCTGAGTACAATGAAGTGGCAGTCATTGATGAGCAATGCATACGCTAGGAGGTGAGTGCGCAGGGTGTGTGCTAGCCGCTGTGAGCAGTGCCGTGGGTGTCCCGGGGAGGGAGGTGAGGGCCCGCTAGGTGGTGGGAGCGAGCCGCTGTGAGCGGAGCCCGCGCTGCCGCCGCTGCTGCCCGTGCCGAGCGCCGAGCCGGCAGCAGCCCTCGGCACAGCTGCGCCTGTGCGGGGCTCCCAGCTAGGCTGCAATGCTAATGATTATGGGCTCCAAATGGCTTCATTTCAGGTATTTTCTTAATGTGTAAAAATGGAACTCTTAAAAACTTTGAGAATGAAGTTAGTGTTGTGAATCCATGCCGGAAGTCAGTGAAAATCCGCTGCAAACCTTTGGCTGTTTTTTTTTTTTAACTTGAAATTCTTTTCCTGTGGTAGCTGGGCTCTCATTTCTGGTGTGTGGTGGGGCAAACAGTTATAATTAGGTGATCACTAATGCTCGTTTGGTTAAAACCTGCAAGTCCATTTTGCCCGTTTCTTTTCTGTCCTGAGAGAGAAGCGTGCTTGCCAGTGGCTGTCCCTCCATTTCCCTTCTTTGGCACATTGGTCAGCTATATCTGTTCCAGAGCTGCACAGTACAAGCAGTTCAGACTCTTTCCACTTCAAAGCTATCTATCAGGTTCTTCCCTGTCCTCAAACTGTTCTCTGCCAATATTCCAAACCAGGTGATTCAATGCAAACTGTCTCATGCTGGTAATCATCCTGTGCCGGTACCGAGTTATCCTACCAGGACTATGGCAAAGTTACGTTTGTCCTTGTTCTGGTTGGAATAAACTGTCAGTGAATTAGTTGCAGTGGCACTGTTGGCCATTCAGAGTGTTATGATTTGAATAATGATTCCATAAAGCAAGCTGAATGTAGCTCTGTCTTACTGGGAACTTTGCTGCTGTGCAGAAATGAGAGTGCATTTATGAGGATTGGCCAGATGTGAAAAACATTCTTGTTTTGTGTGCCTTGCATTACCTTTTCTATAAAATTCCTGTTTAACTACCTTTTGAATTTTCCTTATAATGCTTGTGATTTTAGAAAATTCAAGTTTTCTCTAGTCAGAGTCCAAAGAAAAATTTTGTTCAAAGCACAAACTTTGAGGGTGCTTTTCTGTCTGAAGAAATGTATTGTAATTCTATGCAGTGTAAAAACTAACGCCTACAGTGTCATTTATTCTGAGAATGCATGTTTTTCACATAATAGACAAGGTGAAGAAGAATTTAAGAGAAAGTATTCCCAGTGACACATTTGCAGAGAAATGCTGATTAAAAGCCTAACTTACATAATTGATATTATTTATGCTTTTCACTAATACTTGCTGTAATGTATTTAGAACAGTTTTAACTGGATGTTAATTAAAGGATTTCAAATTATCTTACTTGGAAATTTTTTGATCTCTTCTAGGGTATTCCTGGTACGTGATAGCCAAAGTAACCCCAAAACATTTGTATTGTCACTGAGTCATGGATTAAAAATAAAACATTTTCAAATTGTACCAGTAAGTAAGTTTTTTTCACTTTATTTATGTAGTTGTAAAACCAAACAATTGAATAACTATGACAGACTATTGAAGAATTTTTTTCTTCTTTTGTTGTTTTATGGAAGACGTAAACATACCTGTATCATTAAATATAATTAGTATACTTTAGTAGAGTTGAACATTTTTGAGCTTTGCTATTTGATTTGTTCTAAAGTTTGACTAGTAGTATGAAATCCTGAAAAATTTCTTGAAAAATGAAGCAAATCTATTTCAACTGGAATAGAAGCAACCCTGATGGCATGAAAATCATGCATTAATAGAGTTTGTGCTTCCTTTTACTTTTCAGTATGTACACAATTTCTTAGTCATCTATTTTGGACTGCCTCCATTGTGTGTCCATATCTCAGTCTTCTGTTAAGGATAGTTTCAATATTTGTAGTCAAACATTTTGTTGACCTCTCTTATTGTTACTGTGGTATATTCATGTACAGGTCTTCTTCAGGGGAACTACCAAAAAAAAAAAAAAAAAAAAATTATTTAGTCCAGCTGCTTTATAGGTAAGCTGAAAGTTATTAGCTGAAATCATATTTTTATTAGTTTCCATTGAACAAACTGTACAGTTACCCCGCCAGAATGGTTAGCCATCCTCATTGCTTCCACTCTTTCACAAGGTGGTTTATGTGGGTTTCTTTACATGCTGCTTCTCTTGAGATGAGAAATACTTGAGCATTTTGTGTTTTGGCTACAGATACTTGACATAACTGAGCAGACCCAGAGCTTTTTTATCTCTCTTTACAAGAACCTTTCTTCCAGATCACATAATACTTTAGCCTCCATATTTCTTCCTGCTGAAGTTTCCAGCAGATTCTGCTCTTTCTCAGTAGAAATTAGTTAAGTGGCACTATTTTTTATTATTTTTTTTTCTTTGATCATCGATTCTATCTGATCATTCACCAAATTTCTGTATGCCTTACCTACGGCTTTAGCTGATATCCTCCACTAAAAAAAGTTCATGTAGAATAAAACTGAAGCATTATTTGAGAGGAGGAAAGAAGTCAATCAGATTAGCTGTAAGACTTGTCTAGGATTTTATTGTGTTTAGGTATAGAATATGGAGGATTCCTTCATCCAAAAATGGTAGTTACTCAACATATCCCATGGGATCATCAATGTATAGTACTCGATAGAAATCCTTGGTATAAGATCTCTGTGCATTCATTGACTCTAGTCACTTCCAGTATTTACTTTGGTATAACTGTTGTGTGGTTTAGAAAACCTTCTGAACTCCATACAAAGAGTGTATGATTCTACTTCATTGGGATGTCCTTTAACTCTCAAATTTCAGAGACCACTTTTTGTATCAGGGAGACCCTCCCTTCTCTAAGCACAGGTGTTTCAGTATCTTTAGTTTCCTCTGAGATGGATGATTCTCTTCTTCCCTTCAGAAGACTGTGCTAAAACCTTGTTCTCCTGTTGTGGGATCTTTGCAGGAACTAGGAATTCTTAGTTTTGATATAAATTGTCTACAAACTTGGGTCACATTTTCCATGCTGTTCATCAAGAAGACCTGTACCACTTCATTGCAAAACTTGACTTACTTGAAGGAAATGCTTTTGAATTGTTTTTTAACTAAATAAATTTCTCCTATGCTAGTAACCAGAAAAAATAAATTATGATGAGAACAGCTTAATCCAGAGAGAGTGTGTCAGCATGTTAGCTGTTTGTCCCCCAAATATTGGCCTCCCCAAGTATTTCAGTTCCTTTCTTTCAGTTTCTGGTTGCATTCAGTAACCTTATTCCGTTCTCAATACCCTTACTTAAATGTGCTCTTTTTTTACTAGAACAGTTCTCTTTAAAGATTTCAGAAAATTTTTGTTTAAGGGAGGAAGGGTTTTGGTTCCAGTTGCTGCTGATCTAAATGATGTGATCATTTGCTAAGAAACAAGCCATTTTGTATTATTGTGGTAAATTCATTACTTATTAGTTGAAGATCAAGGTTACCTCTTTGAATTTTGAAATTCTACTGTTCTTTTAAACTCTTAGCTGTTTCCAGCCATTGTAAAGGCAAATGTTCTTACTAAATGTAAACAAATAAATGTAATTTACAAAGCCTTTTTACAAGGTTAAAACAATTAAATCTCTAAATGAATTATTTTTCTCTTGTATTTTAGGTTGCTTCAGGTTATGCTGCACTTAAAAATGTCTCCTTTTAGATAGGGTATGCAGCCTGCTAGTTCATGTCTCACCCAGGTAAACAGGTGCCTCATGTTAACATTGGTAACCTGTGCAACAGGTATTGCAGGTGGGTAGTAGTTTACAATTGATTGTAAAAAGTTCAGAAGGAAACCTTTGGAATATATTTGGGATCCTGTACTGTGAAAATTGGAGAGCCTTTTAGTTTAAAGGTATTTTTCAGCCTTCATGTTCTGAGCTGATGCAAGTTCACATCAATGGATTCTATCCTGAAATTTCATCCGTGTGAAAGACGAAGAGTTGATACACAGTTCTGGGACTGTCTTTTTCTAATGAATGTTTTCTCATAACAGCCTTCTTAGCTTGCAGAAGATGCTAGGTTCTTAGGCAACAGAACTTTGACATAAGTTTTTACTTTGAGAAATATTAATAGCTTTAGAATTAGCAGTCTGTCTGGTATTAATTTCAAGGTTTGGAATTAACTTGTTAGGAGGATAACAGACATTTGAATTGTTAACTTTCCTTGCCTACAGTATGTTGGCAGGAAAATTGCATTCATAAAGGAAGTCAAATGAATGTTAATCCATTTTCAGGTTCTTGGCTGGAGCACAGGAATTTTCTCACATTGGTAATTCCTTAACTAGCAGTATTTGACTGGTTTGACCAAAGTCTGAAAATAAAGAAATTGCAAACTACTTCCAGTCATGGTAGAAAGGGGTAGAATAACTAGGAGTCACAAGCAGTTCAGCAGCTGCTTCAGATAGAACATCTTAATTACAGGTAAGACAGCTAATTGTCTCTTCTCCCTTCCCCTGTATTCAAGTAGGGTAGTTCCATCTTTCTCTAGCACACCATCTGCTTCTCTGTGCTAGCCCTACTTCAGGATCGTCTGTTCACTAATCTTTCAATCTTGTATCTTTTTTTTCCCTTTTCTTTTTAAAAACAGTTTGAATAGGTTTTTTCACCCTATATTTACATGAATACCAATTAGTCACTATTTCAATAATCCTCTTGATATTACACATATCAGCAGTTGAGGAACTAAATCAAGAAATTGTATAGTCAGCAGTGCAAAACAAATTGTACAAGAGCTAACATTCAGTAACTTAGAAGAGGGAAATGGTGATTGCAAACTTTCAAGCATCTAAAACTCAAAAGGAATCTTTCAAGGTATCTGTTGAAGTTTCTTTTCTGTATCTGTGCTAATACATGTTTGGAGCTGCAGCAATTCCTCCTACAACAAAGAACTACTAGAGCAAGTATGTCACTCTTGTGATGGGCAGTGTCTTGTGTAGCTAATACTACCCAGCACTCCACAGCACTGGTGTTTAGCCTCATCATACTTAAAAAAAGTGATAGAAAATCATGGAAGTGAATAGAGAAAAGGTTGAAATATATGAGTAACCTCAAACTTGGTTGCTTAATGTCACTCTGTAAGAACTCAGGGTTAGTATTAACCCCAGCTATCATTCCAAAACAGAGGCATGAAGTAGTATTGTTACTGCAGGAAGAGTATTCCTATACTTATTTAACTGTTCTTTCCTTTTAGGTGTGTGCTTGAAGTCAAATAATACATTGGTTTCCTATTGTTTTGGGGTTTTTTTGTGTAAATTATCACTGTATTTTTTATGCTCACAGTAGTTGTAAGATTATGAATAGATTGGTGTGTAAGAACACTTCTCAAGCAAGTGTTCCAGTCAGAAAGCATACCATAGCAAAAGAGGATATAATTGAATCTTGTTTTTCCATTTTTACAGTTGGAAGATGATGGGAAGCTATTCTATACCCTTGATGATGGTCATACCAGATTTACTGATCTCATCCAGCTAGTGGAATTCTATCAACTTAATAAAGGAGTACTACCTTGCAAGTTAAAACACTATTGTGCACGGATTGCTCTTTAACCAAAGTATTTGTTGTTTCATCAGAGGGATAGGAAGATACTAGTATACTTTTACCTCCTAAAGGCAATTTGTATAGCAAAAAGGGGGAAAAACACATTACATTGTAAAGATTCTATGTTTAAGCTGAAAAAAATTAATAAAAAATAATATCCTATGTAGATAAGAACTTTGCTTTGTGATTGTCACAGCAAAATTAACTTTATGGTTTTGAAAAACCGTTCTTTCTGATGTAATTCTTTAGTGTTGTCTTGAAATTTCTGGGGTTTTTTTTCAACTGAAAACAGTTTTGAAAAATACTGTGTAACTCCTACAAAAATATAACTGAAGGAAAATCTTTGTTCTTAGCTTTAAAATTAACTTTTTTTCTCTATACATGTTTCTCATATTTTCTGTTCATTACATAAAAGAATAATGTTTACTGTGGCAAGGATAAAAAGCTGAACTACACATTTTATTTGTAAATAAAATGAATAAATATTTTGCACTATATTTTTGAATGCTACTTTGAGGATTATCGTATCCAAAAAGTGAAAAGTCATTAAAACCACTTATAACTGCTCAGTTGTATTGAGTTGTGCTATTCTTGTTGTAATATTTTAAAGGATTTTTTCTCTAATCCAGTGACTGAATCTACATCTCTATGCAGAGCTGGACTGTCACTTACTTGGCTGTGAAATGTATAAACTTGCATAAATTATTATGTAGTGCATAATGTATTTTAGTGTATATCTATAATCTCTGACGCAAAGAGAGGCAGAAAGACCTTTTAAGTACTGTGACTCTGCACAGTTGAGGAGGGAATCTAAAAAAATAAGAGTAGTGTTATAATCATTGTAAATTATCAATAATTTACTTACAAATAAAGGTAAATCCGGTGGACTTAGCTGAAAACCTCATGAAAGTGTATTTGCAGTCAGTTCCTAGCTTATTTTATTATTTGTTATAAAATAAAGATGTCGATTTAACTACTAGTGAAGCAATCCTTACAGATTACCAAGTATCTAACATGCCAGCTAAAAAGAACTGTGCCAGTAGGCCAAGTCAAATTTTGGACCACAGCATTAGAACAAATTTTGGTATTTGTATTTTGAAGAAGAGTTGATACTGCTGTATCCTTGGACAAAAACTCGAGTGGAATGGGACTTGGGAAGGAGGCATCCCCAAACTGATGCTTTGCTGTCCAAGAGATTTGATCTTGTTATGAGGGTTCAGGACATTGTCCTGGGTATCTTTACAAAGGGTAAAGGCTGGAGTAAAAGTGGTGTTTGAAGATGGGCCATCACACTGAATCCAGCTCCCCCTTCCTATGCTTGCTTGAGTTCCCTGAGTGCCAGGCATAGCAGCTGCTCTGCTGTAGGGGGAGGTGGGAGAGAAGGTAAAGGAGGCCTGGGTGAGAGATGGAGCCCGTGGGCCCGGAGGCACAGCGGTGCCAGGACGTGTCAGCCGACAAGGTCATGGACATGGAAGCATGAGAACAGTACGGTAACTGTAGCCTGTGGTTTTGTTATTGTGTGTCTCTGGAAGGCAAGCATAATAACATAATACTGTGATACTTAATTTACCGACTTGATCCACACATCACTGACCTTTTCCTCTGGTATGCAAATGCAGTTTTTAAAGCTCATTAAAAAAGCAACTCTTCCTAATGTGTACCAAAGATGCAACATATGTGGTGCCTAAGATCATTACATTAGGAAAGCCTTGTAAAACTCTTTACAGTCTAATAAATACAACTCTTAAAGCTCAAACATGATTTCAAAATGTACTTAAAAAAAAATAATTAAAACCTCTTCAGGTTCTGTTTAATAACGTGATTACTTCTCAGGTAGTTTTATTTCAGATGTTGATGTAGAATAAGGAGAAACATTCTCTGCATCCCTTATTTGTAATCATCTCTTGACAAGTGTCTGTTGTCTATTTTAGTCCATTTCTCCTCGGGACATGTGAAAGCTTCGCTATAATTTTTGTTTGTATTTATGTATGCATGCTTGGCAGAGAAGCCAACTGCTCAGTGAGTGAGTACCTGTCACTGTTGGACCTATCAGAAGAGAAAATAATGTAGAAATTATGTCACATGGTGGAGAGACATCAACCATCAAGAAGCTTTGCCCGCTTTTTCCTTTTTGTTTCACAAGTGAAATTGAAAAACAAAAAACAAAACTCAGCCAAATTGATAACAATAATAAAACCTAAGTAAAATGAAGTATTGCTTAATGAGCATGGGATTTGGACATTTGAACTATCAAGTATTCAAAGCTTTCTTATACTGCAAAGCATTTCCTCCTGCATTTTGACAGCTCTCTTAATTAAAATCCAAACTGAAATGTTGCTGAGAATACATAATCTCTTTTATATGATGTGTATACCTTTCCTGAACTCTGTTGTTTGTGACCATGCCAGAAAACAAACCAAACCAGTAAAACTAATAAAATCTAGTTTGCTGTTGAAATCACTTCACAGGCTACCTCCTTGTTTAAATATTGCTGAACAAACAACCATGAAGGAGGTAGTCTTAATGTGTAAAAGCAAAGAACCAAACACCACCCTTTAAAAGTCAAATATTCTGATATCCCAGACTTCTTTCTAATGTACTAAATGGTACAAGTGGTTGATACATGACTTTCAAGATCCTTACTTGCAACGAGTCAGCAAGGAATTTCTGTGAGATCAGCCAGGATAAGTCTGACCATAAAGTTCTTTGGGGGTGTAGGCAATGCTATTTAGACAGAATTTCAGTGTGTTAACTGTCACTTCTAATTAGGAATACTACACGTTGGTGCCCACCTTCACAAAGAGAATTGGCTAATCATGAGTTGCTAACAGCTCAGGAAGAAATCAGTACTATTTTGGGCAAGCCCGTCTATCTGTCTCCAACATTTGCTTCTCTACAAAATGTGGACAATTTTATATCTACCTCACAGAATGTTTATGGACTGATTTTTAAGAAAAAAACCCAATGGAACAATAGAAACTGGCGTTACTTGCAGAAGGGTTCTTTAATACTTAAAATGGTATGTTTTTACCTTTACTTGATGGAAATTCAGAGCCAAAACACCTAGGTAGGAAGCATAGTATTTGAAAAACTCTTCATGTTTTCTTCAGATTTAAAATTTTATCCTTCTCTGAGTGTTTATGTGTAGTGCACTGCCAGGAAGAGAGAACTGAGCTTGCCATGTAGAGGAACCAAAAGCAGTGTAAGTGAACAAGCCTAGCTTGCTATCTGGGGTAATTAGCCCTGCAGGGGTACTCTGTGAGATGTGAGCTAGTGCAGAGATCATGCTGAAGCTCAGCATTGTATTTGTTGGCATGCCCTTTGTGCCTTAGTTTCCAATCTAAAAATCTTCTTGGCTCAAAGGAGATTAAAAGTTAATTCACTGGTGTTTCATAACACATATACTTTCATGGCTGGAATTAAGATGCACAGGCAGCATTAAATGACATTTTTAAACTTCTGAGTGTTTTTTCTTAGCAATCTTATTAAGTCACTGGAGTTTTTTGAAATGCAGTTAGTCTTCGAGTCATCCAACTAAATGTTTTGAAAGAGAGCTTTAACCCATTAAATAAAAGAGGATTATATATGTAACTAACTACAAGTGGGATCTTGCGAGGATAATTGAATTTCTGTCAAATGTTGTCTGTTACATCCTGGTTTAAGAATTGTAGCATTTTGTGCTTCCCTGGGGGTAGAATTATTCTATAGTGTGCTTGGAGTATCTCATTTTAAGTTAAAATCAGCTTATTTCAAGAGGATAGCCTTTTTTTTGTTGTTATGTTGTTTAAAAGCTACTCATCTTCATCTAAATAGAAGCCACTCATTCACCAATTAGTTTTAACTGTTTAAACCCATCTATTAGCTTTGGCTTGCAAATAAGTCTAGCATTTGTCTGTAAGAAATCTTATACATAATTCTTCTTACCTTTATTAAAATAGTTTAGAAAAAGACAAAGCAATTTACAGTTTACATCAGTGTGTCTGTTTGATTGGAAAAATAATTATTTTTATTACTGTTCTGTACTATCCTAGTATTCACACTGTAATGCATTCCATTTCTAATTTCAACTTTGTAGCTGAAATCATCGAAGATGGGACATACCCCATTACTTGAATATACTTGCAAGCTTTCAGAGGTTAAACACTTATGGTCTATGCATAATCAATGTGTATGGTAGCGCAATTAATGTTAACTTTAATGAAATGCATGAATATTTAAAACTTAATGAATCTGACTTTACAGCACGCTTTACAGCCTGGCTCACATATGCGAACAGTATTGACTGTTGGCCTCTGGATGTCAGCAGTGTATCACGAAATTCCTGTAATCAGCCGCTGTTTTCATGCTTCCTCCCAGAAATATCTGTGACTTGTGGTCTCTGCACACCTCCAGAACACCCAGTGCTTTTTCCTCTTATAAATTATTCACTTACTCTGTACCAATTAGTTCTACCAGTTGCTAGGTTTGTTATCAAGTTAAGCTTCAAGACAAGAACCTGAACTCAATGAGTGATTAAAAATTTATTAGCAGAGATGATTAAATATGCAGATAGTCTGTGAAGCTTGTTCTTGAAACCATTATATTACCTTTTTAATACTAATGATTTGTATAATTAATTTTATAAAAGCCTGAAAGTCTTTTAAAAAAATTCAGAGTAGGACATAAAAGGGAAGAGATTAAATACAGAGGAGGCAGTGAACCTGAGCATTAAAACAGCTCATTCACATGTATAGGCAATAAAGTGATTTCCTTACAGGAATAGTTTGTGGTTTTTCTTCCCCTCTGCTAAGTTGATTATTTTATTAATCTTTTAAGCAATTTGGGAAAACTCTTATTATCTAGTGAGTCGTATTTTCAAAATAGAACTTGATGTGATTAACACTGATAATATAGCTGATTCGCTGAAACTTTACAATTAAAACTCAGTTCCTACAACATTTAAGCACATGCTGGATTTAGGCATGTGAAGAGCCCCGGGGCTTCCACGGGAAAGAAGATAGAGGTGCATTACCACCACAGGGTGCCACTGGGCAGCGTGGCCAGCGCCAGGCGAAGTTTCTGAGGGAGGGGTTGCCCTCATGCTGTGTTTCTGAAGGGGAGGGAGGTGAGCAGGGCCCCAGGCTGTGCCCATGGCAGCAGCCAGGCCTGTCTGGGGTGTGGGCAGCAGGACTCCCCAGAGCCCGCTGGGAGGGGAGCAGCCTGGTGCTTTGAACCTGCAGGGCTGGCTCAGGAGCTGGGCCTGTCCTCCTTTCCATGGGGGAAAAAAACCAAATTACCGCTCTGTCGCTCTATTGGGAACGGCGAGAAGAACGACACAGACTCTCTTGTGGAGTCAAACTGGAGAATTTTCTCCCGGTTTATTACCTCAGGCCTTTTTTATAGACCAATACATGAAAAGTACAGAAAAGAAAACTCTTATTGGTTAGTAAACTAACACATCACCATTATTGGTCAGTGAGGTTCACCACCCCTCGACCTTCTCTTGCAAGAAAACAACGAACAGCACCTGCAAGGAGTGTTTCTGTCTCTGAAGATTGTTTTAATTCCTCCTTAAGATTCCCAGGCCACTTTCCCAGGCAAGACTGAGAAAGCTATGCGGCCTGCAATGTCCACAGGCATTGTGCTTCCTGCTTCACAGTTAGCATCCATACTGCTCCTTAAAGGAGTAGCTAGAGCAGAAGTCAGTCCTGGAGCAAGGCTTCTTGCCTTCCATGTTCCTGAGAGAAGCGAGCCCTCAAGGTGGTAGCTATGGCTGCAGGGAGTGCAGGCGACTGCTGCCAGCCAAGGGTGTGGACATGGCGCTGCTTTTGGCAGCTGCTCGTACGTGCAGTGGGGTCTGAGTTGGTTTGTACCTCTGTGAGCTGGTTTGTACCTCTGTGAGCTAGTTTAGGAGGTAATGAGACCTGGCCACACACTGGGAGCTGGTATACTGGGGATGTGAGGGAGGCCTAGGGGTGAGCTGTGGGCTGCCATTCCAGCAGGGCAGGCAGCGCTGGATGGGCGCACAACTCAGCACTCTGCAGCAGGGAGAGCCCAAGGTCTCTGTTCTCTCCCTCTCCTTCCAGCTCTGCCTGGTGCTGTGCCACCAGAGGCCACAGCTGGTGGCCCCAGGCACACCACAGGAATGAGTTGCTGTGAATGAGGCTTGAAGGAAGATGAGGGTCTGGACAAAGTGAGTGTCAGCAGCCCAGCCTCCTGGAAAAACAGAAGTTGCCCCTCAGGTGATGCTGATGAACCCCACCAGCTGGAGCTTGTCAGAGTTAATGTGTTACCCTTAAGAAGTATGTATGAGCTGGCTTTGAGTAGTAGGTGTGTCCTGGGTTGAGGGCTGGTATGGAAAGTAAGTGGAATTTTTATTTTTTATTTTCAAGGCTGGGGCTTTGAGGTGGGAAGGGAAAATAATGAGTGGAGATTGTCATGCATCTGTTGTATTGCCCCTTTCTTTCTTTTTATGAAGTAGGGTAGCCTTTATTCTCAAGTGCTAAGCTTTATGTACCAATATTTAGGCCTCAGTTCCGTGAGGTGTAGTTTGTGTTTCTAGCCCTGGTTGTGGAAGGCAGCAGAACTGTAGCATGGACATTACTAGAGTGAAACCCAATGATAGTGTTTGCATTGCTGTCCCCACTGAGCTTGCAAGGCTAGGAGCTTACTGGGAAGGAGAAGTCTAAGTAAAAATGATTGTTCTTAAGGTAAAACAGAAGGTGTACCTCTTTGATGGTAAAAAATTAAGACTAGGAATTTCCTTAGCAGAAACTAGTCTTGGGAAGCATTTCTGCAGTGCTCCTGGAGATGCATTGTACTCAGATGTCCTTGCTCTGAGCTAACTCAAAACACCACTTTTGACATAGGTATTTCAGCTTCCCCTTCTACTGTACCAGTCACCTACTTGGGGACAGGGAAGGAGCAGATTAAAAAGCAATATGCTAGAGCAAGAACGTTGATAGAAAAAAGTTGAGAGCACATTGACCGAGGTGCTTCCTGCTTTTCTCCTTGTGGCTGAAGCTAAACAAAGAATGAGTGCTTAGTCTCCCATTCCTGAATATGGCATAGAATGCTGTGTTGCTATGAGAGGGTTTTAATGCCAGTGAAAACTTTCTAAAATGAAAAAGGAAGTCCTTAAACTGAGGGAAATGAAATATATAATTTCAAATCCATTTGCAATGTGAGCAAATGCAGGTGGGAGAAAAAAACACATGAAGCTTTCACAGGGTTTTTTTAGTTTTTTTTTTTTTTGGGTTAATTTGTAGTTTGATGTAATTTTTATAAAAAAAACTTGTTCTGATAAATAGTGTGGAACTTTACAATTGCCAAATCTGCAGCCTATGCTAAATGTTTAAGTTCTAGGAAATAACTCATGGAAAAATATCTTCTGATGATGGATGTGAGGTCAACTATGCAAACTAAAATATTTTTTCCCCAGTTATATGGTATAGGGCTGTGGTGCTCAGACCATATGCATAGCTAGTTATTTTTAGGCATTTAAGGAGAATGTAAAGGAGGTGATATGTGTAGGAGGATGGAAGGGTACTGAGAGAATTTTAAGAGATGCTAACACTTGGAACAACAATAGATATGCTATTGGAGTGATTTTTTCCTAACCTGTACACATCACGTCTGGAGGGGTTTGCTTCTGTACTAAACAATTAATGAAGTCTTCATTTTTAAATGATGCATGTACTTCTTTGTGTGCTGCACATAATGCTACAGATTTCTGTATGCTTAAGATAATGTGTGTAAGTGTTGGCAGGATCAGAGTCAAAGATGTCAAAAATAACTTGGAGGGCTTGTGGAAATTTACAAAGTGTAATAAGGTGATACTTCAATTGGTGCTGAAGTGGAAATTGTAGCTGATATTATATTTAATGACGGACTGTGGTCACTGGGTTCACTGTGACTGAACAATATCCATCTCTATTTTTGAAGTAAATGAATATCAGTAGATGAAGTTGAACTAAAAATTAAGAATGTTTTTCTCTTGTACATTGATAATGCTCTTTAGCTTATTATCCTGCATTGTGTGTGCATAAGAAAAAGAAACACTCAAAAAACCCAACTAAACCTCCCCCATGCTGGCCCTGAGCTTTCCATAAGGAAAGAATTTGCAGTAGGAATCTATATTTGTAGTGGCCTTGGCCTTGTGAAAGTGTAAGATGTATGACACTTTTAAAGAAAAAGTTCTTCATTCCTCATCACTATAGAGTTAGGAAATAAAAACCATTAAAGGAATGAACTAATTATTTCTATTTCTTTGCTAGAAATAAAACTAACATGCTGATTCAAAGTACCATAAGAACAGGTGATGCTTAAAAGGGCTTTCCCCATGGAAAAGAAGTACAGCTGAATTGTATTACCCCTTGGTAAAGATAATGTGAGTTTGCAACAAACAAATTCTAGATTGTTCTGTGGTGAAGTGAAATGCTTATTTGTCTGTAGGAATGTGTGCTCCACTTGTGCTTCTACTTCCACTTGAAATAAGGCCATATCACTCAGCATGGATTTAGAAACACAGGGAAGAATGAATATGCTTTTGCCATCACATTTATCCAAGGACTTGCAGGAATGTTAACTATTGATGTTCTTCTCAGCTTTCAACTTATGTTTTCTTGTGTATATAATTCTTTCTAATTATATTTTTATTAGCTGCAGAAATTAATTCCTCAAGTATTTTTTGTCCTTAATCTTCCTAGATATTTTCAATGAAGATTATAAGTTCTCTGGACAAATTTTTGATGTAATCTAGAAGCAGCACTGGTTCTGTGTCAACAGTTGCCGAATCTAATGCTGAAAATGTGGTATTTAATGGATTGACACACATGTACTGTTCACATGTGTTCCAAGTTGTAACAGTAAGAGAAATGTGTATTTGATCCAATACAGACTGTGATGCTGGACAAATTGACTAGGTTATACAGATTAAAAAAAAAAAATCAGTCTTGAGGTAGCAGAACATCTTTATAGTGGAGTGGTTCATATATCACAGTGTGGGGAGTACAAGAGAAGAAAGACTATACAAATAGAGATCTCCCAAAGAAGAGAACAGTGATGCTGGATCTGGAGGAAACAAGCTCCAAGGAAAAGCTAGAGAATGGCTGTTTAGCTGTTCTGTAGCAATTTGAACCCTGACAAGCAGAAAAGTGAATGAGAAAATTAAATGGAATACCTTAGAAAAAAACAACTACTTCAACTGCTTGGGGCAGAGGAGGAGTCTTAATCTGGTAATATGTTAATTAACATATCTTAATCTCAATGTGTTTGACCCATGATTGAGATATTCTTGCAGGGATGTGTATGAAGCAACTCGCCAACTCTGTCAGTAACTTGTGGAGGCTCATGGAGCAATTCTGGTATTTTTACTGGGTACTTCTCAATCATCACTTGGCAGCCTGATGTTGTAGCGGAGGTTTTGTTCTGAGGGGGTTGTGTGGATTATCGGAACCCAATATACTCTGCCTAACAGAAACAGCATAAACTGGAGACAGGTGGAAATATGGTGAGACAGAAGAGAGGTGTACACATCGTACGGATTGCAATTATGAGGCCTGAGCAAAGATGAAGAGACTAGTAAGAAATCTTATTTCTATTTACTAATTTGGCATCATTTGGTGTGTTGGTATATAATTGTAATTAAAATGCAGTTGTCTTGTGACTATTCAGATGTAGGTTTCTGGCTGAAGAAATGGATCTATGCTTGTTAGGAGTTAGCTTTGATAAATGTTACTTGTAAGTTTTACGGGAAGCTGACTATGAAGTGCTGAAGTATTTGAATGTGAAGTTTACTTTTAAACTTTGCTGTGGAATCTCTGCTGAAGAGTAGCTTAGATATTTTAAAAAAAGTAGAAAGGTGGAAACTACATATGTAAGCATGTTAACTTTTTATTAAAAGAAATCATTCCAGGAGACCTCATTAAGCCAGGACGGTATTCTAAAAGTGAATATACATGTTGACAGCTACACCCATAAATTTGAAAACTGCAAACATGTTCAGCATAAAAGCCATTTTTGAAAAAAGCTGTTGCTCTGCCCTTGTACTAATTTAAGAATTGTTCATTCATTCTGATTTTTATAGTTGCTTTTCACATATATAACTGGGACAGTTTAAAAAGTGCATTATAGAATCGTTCATGATGTCACAAACTTCATAATGCAGATGATTATTTTTAAAAATAGTTTACATACAGGCTCAAAGTATCAAATAAACTCAATAATTCCATTTATTTCTCTTTTTTAAACAAACAAAATGACCTGTCCATAAACTATACCTCTGTACAGTATTCTTGCAAAGAATTTCCGTTTCCCAGGAATCATGATGTGAGTTTAGATTGCTTGGCTCTAGCAGTAGGTTTGGTGAAGAAGTTCTCTTGTTCTATTCCTACTCTATCTGGACATATAATAGTCTTCACAGACAGCACAAGATCATCTCAGACAATCTCTTCTTTTGGTGCCTTTCTGCCAGAAGACATTCAAGGTACACCCATATTTAAGATGATTTCATTGAAGTAGGGACTTTGTTTCAATGTAGTTTGTAGAAGTGTAATTGTTACAAAGGGAGAGGAGTATTCTGCCTGTGGATGCAGATTCTGAGGCAAAATAAACAATCAGTCCTGACCTCAGGTTTGTTTTCTCACTGGTGTGGGAGGAAGGAGGAGGAACGAATCACTTGTCTGCTCTGTGTGGGAGGAACCAAGATGGTATTTAGGAGATAGAATAATTTTAAGTGAAGATCAGTAATCAGAAATCCCACCAGAAAGAGCACAGGAAGATGGCAAAAAGTCATCAGGTGATGGAGAGGATCTGAGCAAGGGACGAGACCAGGGGTTGAAATGGTTCTTGGGCATTAAGAAACACAAAGTATGTTTTTGTTTGTTTGTGTTTGGCTTTTTTTGAGGGGAGGTGGGTCCCTTTTTATTTTTTTGAGTAGGTAGGTATTTTTAATGGTTATTTTTCATATCCAAAATGTGTGTGTACAATCTAATTACTTGTATTTTGTCATATTTAGCAAATAACTTCTAGGTTCTACATGATAATACTTTGGGAAGGATTTGCTATTCATGCTTAAATGTATGTTACCTTAAATCTTCTGACAAATGGCCAGGGCTATGTTGTTTTCCCTACTGCTTGAATTAAAATATTTTTCATAGAAAATAAACTTCTCTGAATTTTCTTCTGGACAGTGATATAACAAGGAACAGGGGAGACAGGATGCCAAAATAATTTGATGACATTTGAGATGAATCAGTACCTTGCCAACAGAAACAGTGTTTGAGAGATGCTTTGATACATTGACTGACCTGTCATAGTGTAGTTGTTCAAAACTTTTGATAAGAGGATAGTATGTTTAAAATGATGACAAATGAAAGGCAGTGGTGGTACTGTCCTCAAGGAGTCACATTAATATGTGCGCATTTGTATATTTACAGGACTCCAGTTCAGACTTTGTCTTCACAATCAAAAAAACCAGTTTTGCTGCAGAAAGGCTGTCAGGTATGTTGAACTGCAGAAAATAAATCTGCACAGAGTAATGGAAATCATAAAACCTACAGAGCTCCTGGATAGTACTGACACAGAATCTTTCTAATGAAATTAATTGCAGACATAGTTGTGCTGTTTCTTGCCTCCTCCAATCTAACTGAATGTAAGCTCCTCAAACAGGCTTTTATTAGTGAATATTAGTGGAAACCATCTGGTAAAGGAGAATCTGTACAAAGCACTTCTTTATCTCTAATTAGTCTCAAACAGATTTTCATATGTCATTATACTATATGTTATTTGTGGGTAGTGAGAAGAAGAATAAGATTAAATTATCTCAATCAAGTGTGTCAGCAGCAGTTCTCAGTGAATCCCAGCATTTTACTAATTTCCTGTGTGTTGAATTAGACTGCTGCCTCAATTTTATTATTTGTAACACGTTCTGGTGTCTTTGATATGAGCAGAGCAGGAAACAACCATCAATCTGAGTGGGTTGTGGTTTTTGTTTGTTTTTTGAGGATTTTTTTGGGTTTGTTTTGGTATTTTTTTCTGGTGTTGAAAAATAAGAAGTCAAAACCAAAACTTATGCATCTGAATTAAAATGTCCAAAGGAAGGCCATGAAGGATCTGGAGGGGAAGCCTTATAAGGAGCAGCAGAGATCAACCTGGAGAAGGGGAGGCCTCATTGCAGTCTTCAACATCCTCTAGAGGAGAGGTGGAGGGGCAAGTGGTGATCGCTCTTGTGACCAGTGACAGGACCTGAGGGAATGGCATGGACCTGTGTCAGGGAAGTTCTAGGCTGGAAATCAGGAAAAGGTTCTTCACCCAGAGGGCAGTTGAGCACTGGGACAGGCTCCTCATGGAGGTGGTCTCAGCACCAGCCTGACAGAGTTCAAGAAGCATTTGGACAATGCTCATGGGCACATGGTGACTCTTGGGGAGTGTTCTGCGCAGGGCTAAGAGTTGGTCTTGATGATACTGATGGGTCCCTTCCAATTTAGCTTACTATGTGATACTATGAGATTATTTATATAGTAGAAACCCAAGAAAAAGTGAGGCTTCAAGTAGTAGTGGCTTTTGTGCTTTGCTCTGAGCTGATACTTCCTAAATCATGTAATGATTACACTGTGACCACCTGATAGGAAATCTTGAATGTTTCTGTCCAAGTTTTTGGGCTTGGGATAGAGGCAATGACAGATCTAGACAAGGGCAACTAACACGTTAGGAAAAAAAATAGTGGCAGAGAAAGGTCTAGATTGATGCTGTATGAGGATAAGCAGCACTGGCTGAAGGGAAATAAAACACTGTAGCCTACAGCCAGTAACACATTAGTCTGACCTAAACATTTCTGCATTGCCTGGTGTTTGTGCTGGAAAAAACATCTTTAGAAGGAAGAACAGTAAAGGCTTATCATGTCAAGTTGATGAATGTGGAATAAATATAGTGATTACAATTTTTTGTGGAAGATTTTCTGCCAACCGAAAAAGACTAGGGTTTTCTGCAGAGGTAATAGAGAGCAGGAGTACATGAAACTGTGAAAAAGAGTACCAAAGAGGTAGGTGCCTGCACTAAGGTGTCTTCCACTTAAAAACTGAGATAACTGCCAATTCATTTACTGCTGTTCCTGGTGATAGATGGAAACGAATCATGCTGGTGTGGTGCACTGAGGTCAGAGAAGGAGGTGTGCTTTCAGTTTGCTTTTCACTGAACATTAACTAAACTATTATAAGACAGCAGACTCAAAAATAATTCCAGGAACCATGTACAGGTATTGGACTCTTGGTACAATTGCAATACAGCAAGACATATTCTAAGTAAAACCTATGTACTGCGTATAAACTAACAGAGCATAGGAGTGTACCAAATGTGTCAGTGTGATGTTAGTACATTTAATGGCATTTAGCTGTGACCATTATGTGCAGACTTTTTCATTACTATAATGCAAAACATGGTATGTCTTTGAGAAAGCATTCATGTTATTTTTTCTTCCAGCCATATACACAAGTTATCAGTTATATAAGCAAACAATGATGTTTTTATACAGGCCAATAGGTCTTTATGTCATGCATTATACCTAGACTAATATCTTTCCATGTAATGGTTTGTAGGCTTGATTCTGGTTTTGTTGTTGTTGGGGTTTGTTTGTTTTTGTTGTGCTTGGGTGTTTTGTTTTGCAGGTTTTTTATTGTTTGGTTTTGATTTGTTTTTTTTTTTTTGTGCAACAAAAGCTGCCCTCATAAGGGAGAAGAAAATAGATGGAGCTGGGGAACTGAGCAAATGTGACCATATGGCAGCATATCCTAGTATATTCTTCCAGATTCTGCTGTGGAAATAATAGCAGTAAGAGTTCTATGTTATAGAATAGGTTCTATATCTAGGCCCATTTTCTTAAGAATAGTTTAAAAAAACCACAATCCTTTTAGTATTGATTTCGTATCTAGTCAAAACTACCTAGATGTGTACAGTTCCTTGTTAAACTTAGTTTTCCAGTTAGCTTACTTTAATTTTTCAATACTTTGGCTTTTAACTGGAGGTATAGGCCCATACAGGTGAGTTAAAGGCTACTTTTTCCTTTGGGTCAAAGAATAATTTTGATGCATCCTCTTTCCTGTGAAACCTTCTGCCCCATACTCTTGCATCTGGAAAACTGTTAATGATTGTCAGAGGTAGAAAAGCAAGCTGACTGGTTCTGAAGGAGAGATGGAGAAAGCACAATGGAGCACTGAAGAGATGAGATTAAAGAAATTGAAAAGAGGAGTACCCTTTGCCTTTTGGAACAGCTACTTTGAGAGTAAGGGTTTCTTCTCCCCTCATCCCCAAAATGCTGGATCTCCTTTTGTAAACAGTATATAATTAGAGAGCTTCTTTTGGTGGGCTTCATCTTGTCTGTTCTTAACTAGTTATTACTGGACTATGAACTGTTGGCAGCTATTTGGTCCCATTTATACTCTTGACTTCCACCCCCTCTCAGGCAAAGAGTTGCACTTCTCATTATGTGGAGAAAGTTCTTTGAATCTTTTTAAACATGTTTCTTGATATGTTTACCAGATGTTTATAAGCAACAAGTGGTGAGGCAGTGTGTGCTTTACTTCAGCAATTCTTACTTTATAAGATATGGGTGAAACTTCAGTTGAAGAGTTGAACTGTCTCCATTGTGTTTTTTTGTATTCCTGTTGGCTCTTTAATGAGGTAATCAGAACTGCATTTAAAAGAAAAGATTTGTGAGTATTTGGGTTTACAAAACCATGTAATATTTTGCTTGTTTTTGTTTTGTTGTTTTCCCTTGGTTTTTTTCTTCAGTTTTTAATACTATTTATTTTTTTGGATCTCTGAGAATCGAACTGGTGCTTTCACAGTGGTGGTATCTGACTGCTGACTGATCCTTGCATATGCATGCCTCAGGGTTTTTCTTCCCCATTACTTTGAATTTAATGACACTTTTTTATCTCCCATTTAAAAAGAAAAAAGTTGTTACTGCAGAAGTAGATTATGGGTATACACGAGAGAGGATGTCATCCTGCCTGGTGTGTTGTCCAGTGTCATCCTTGGTGTTGTCTGATACAACTTGAATATTTTAGTAGAGAAGATGTAAAACTGGGGTTGTCAGTGTTTGGAAAAAGTCCAGTGAGGCAGCAAAGATTGTTGGATATTAAGGAAAAGGGAAAATAAATAGGATTTTTTTTTTTTGTTTGTTTTTTTTTTTTTTAGGACAACAGTCTAGGCTGGTTTTCTAAGTCAAGAAAGGTACTGATCCTGAAAAGAAAGGCCAAAAAATCTAGGACTCTAATGACGTGAGTGGATGAATGAAGCTGCATGAACTTTGTCTGGAAGGAAAGTGGAGGAAGAGATGGCTTGATTACAGAAAAGTTTGAAAGTAGAAACTTTTTTTTTCTTCTAATTTGGTTCATTGAATCATTTGTATACACTTTTACAAATGACCAGTAAATTAAACTCCTAAAAACTGCCATTTGTAACTATTCCAAACTGCCAGTTTGAATGGTCTATGAAGATATCTTTCCATCCACACCACTTCCCCTGCCACTTTCAGTTAAGATTGGATCCTGATGGATAGCATCATTTTGTCACATTGTGGCACTCTTTATAAATAGCATAATGCAGTGATGTACAGTGCACTGACAATTGCAGTTTTAGTAGCTATTGGGAGAGCTAAAAATGAACATTTTCCATAATCTAGATCGTTTACTTTGGCGGCTGGGCTTTCTGCACATCTCCAGTATGTATTCCCATAAGATATTAAAAAGGATGTATATGTTTTTATTATATTGTGTATACACTTTGGTAGGTGTAAAATAAGTTTACATTTTAAATGCATTTGTGCTACTATCAGAGAAAAGCAAAACAAAATAAATTGATGCCAGGGGAAATGTCAGGCATGCAACACAGATTTGTTAAATAAACATTACTGTGTGGCATTAGCTAATGTTATTACTTTGTTTCCCTAGTGGCTCTTTTTTTGATTATCTGCATTTCTAAAGACTGTGCACGTTTCATACACACTAAGAACAGACTACAAGGATTCTACTTACATGAAGAGCCTTGCAAAAAAATACAGATTATGATGGCAATTTTTTTATTTACAGCTCTGCTAAAAGCATAGGAGTTTTTCAGTAATTTTTTTTTGTACAAGGGATGATGTGAAGGAATTTCATTACTGAACTTTTTGAAACTCTGTGGCAACTGTAAGTAGGAAAACTTACAAAGCAAAATATAATTTTAGGCATGCAAATGAGAGTAAAAAGTATACCACTTTTTTTGACTATCTTTCAGATTAGAAACCAAGATAAAAATGTTTATTTAGATTTTGTTTAAAGCACTGGATATGCAATGGGTAGCACAGGTAGGCTTATAACTGGAAGGTGATTTCAGAACTTTCACTTGGCCTTTTACATGTAAACTCTGCTTATTCATAAGAGCAGGGCTGTTGAAGCCAATATGCAGTGTAGATAATGCTCATAAACAGTGTGAATTTAGGAAATCTTGTGAAGAACTCTGTTTATGGGAAATCCCTCCTCCTGTAGCCATTCACATCCAACACCAGAGACTAGAGTACCTGCAGTTCCACTGCATGACTTATTCAAACAAGCTGGATTTATTAGCAGCAATGCATAGTAATGCCAGCTAGGGGTTGTCCTGTTTATATATTTGCTGTTGCAATAGTAGATTGCATAATGTATGTTTATCTGAAGAGTATAAGGCTTATTTTCAGGGTTTGCATAATCAGCATATTTTGATGCAGAAAAGTGACCAGGATAAAAAAGAATATCAAAGCTGAATGTTCTTACCATCTGTTCAGTTTATTTCATATACCATGTTGCTGGTCTTAATCCAAGTCCAAATAGTCTTGTATCCATACTATAGCTGACATCAGCTGGCCTGTCTTTTGGCTGTTGGTAGAGAAGAAGGAAGTCTGAGGCAAGAGAACTGATCTCGACACATTGTCTAGAGTATCTAGAGGGGGAAGTTTGCACTGACATTACCTTTCCCAGGAAGAGAACTTCATTTGAACTCGAATCAGTTGTCTTGCATGACTGTGTAATTGTCAGGACTTGTTTAATGCATTATTTCCTCCCTTTCTGAGTGTTGACTTGGATGCAGGACTCAAAGGTATATTAAGTCTGTTGATGATGCTAAATTAGGAGGTGCTCTTGACTTGCTTGAGGGCAGAGAGGCCCTGCCAAGAAATCTTGACAAATTGGAGAGATGGGCAACCACCAGTCTGTATGAGGTTTAACAGGGATGAGTGATGGATTCTGCAGTGCTGGACCTGGGATGGGCTAACCCTGCCCATACATTATAGACTGTGGAACAGAGATGGGACTGCAGCCCCATGGAATGGGACCTGGGGATCCTGGTTAATGGCAAAGGGAACATGAGTTAGCAGTGCCTTGACAGCCAAAAGGGCCAACTCTGTCCTTTGCAGGTGCATCAAGGTGCATCAAGCCCTGCATTGCCAGCCAGGCAAGGGAGGGGATTGTCCTACTCTGCCTCACCTTGAATACTGTGTGCAGTTCTGGGTGCCACAATATAAGAACAATATATAAAGCTATTAGAGGGTTCCCAAAAGAGGGCTATGAAGATGGTGAATGGTCTTAAAGGGAAGTTGTATGAGAAGCAGCTGTAGTCACTTAGATTTTTGGCTTTGTTAGGGGAGAGTTCATTGCAGTCTTTAGCTTCCTCATGAGGGCAAGTGCAGGAGCAGGGGCTAATCTCCCTGGTAACCAACACTAGGACCCAAGGGAATAGCCTGAATTCACACTGGGGGAGGTTTAGGCTGGGTATCAGAAAAAGGTTCTCCACACAGAGGGTGGTTGAACACTAGAATAGGCTCCCCAGGGAAGTGGTTATAGTGCCAAGCCTGACAGTTTGAGAGTTTGGAAAATGCTCTCAGATATATAGTGTGATTTCTGGGGATGTGCAGAACTGGAAGTTGAACTTGATGATCATTGTTGGTCTCTTCTAACTCAGGATATTATATGACTATGCAACCTAAATGCTGTTTGATTATAATTAATTGATCTTGAATTTTAAGTAGGGAACAAGAGAAAAATTATATGTAAGGAAAAATATTGACTTCTCTCTTGACCAATCCATCAGGTACAGCCTACAACAGGAATCTACATTTGATTTAATGGAGCATCTTGTAGAAGTGGCAAAGAGAAATAACTCAGAAGATTTCTATTCATCTCTCTTGATGAGCAATAATGTAGAAGCAGGGATTTGTGAATTTTTGGGATTGTATTTTTGATGTATGTATGGTCTGACTTTCAATTTTATCAATCTTGTGGCTGTTGCTGCTCTCCCTTTCTGAAAAGTGGGCTGACAAGACATTAGTCTCTCCTCTTACTCCTGTTTTTTGGCTTCCTGAACAATGCATTGTTTCCTTCTGTAATATAATCATATCTTGTATGGGTAAAAAGAAAGAATGGTCTTTCTGCTTTCCTTCCTAGCACCTGCCATACCTGAGGGATCTGCTGCTGTCAAGGAAGCGGTGTGGCAAGTCTGACTTCTCCACATCCTAATAGGTTCAGAGCGAACATATTTTCTGAGGACTTAACCAGAATATGGCAATGATCATTTCAGTATGTGCAAATTAAATATAATCCAAAACTGTGTAATTTTGCTAGAACAGGCGGAATTTCTGTGTAGGTTAGGACAAATCACTTTCCCATATTTCATGTTTATTTCCTGTTCTTCAAGGCTGAAGTTGATCTCTTGTTTCTTTGTTTCTTTATTTTTCTCCCATGAATTAAAAACACTGAAGCAAGAAATTACCTCTCTGGGAAAAAATATAACTTCAGAAAAGTTATGTTCTGATGAAGGTATCATTTTTTTTGTTGGAGAATGCAGTACATTTAACTGCCAATATTCTGTGTCATTATTAACCATGTTCTATGGTGTATATATGCTAGAAATCTGCTGAAGAGAAACCCTTTCTTCTTTGGGCATGAGGCAGGCCTGGATGGACATCTGTGTCAGAGGTTCATCATACTGAACGGACATCTGTGTCAGAGGTTCATCATACTGAACATGTACTGTGTCCTTTTTAAATAAAAACCTCTAAAGTGTCCTGAGCCTTATCCAGATGAAGATGAGTTGGTATATTATTCATTAATTTAGGAGATGGATCATGTCCTAAGTTTCTTCCTTTGTTGCATAAAACTGAAGGAGGAGAAATTCAACATGTTTTGCTGAAGGTATAAAACTAATTGCCAGCACTGTAATTTCTAGGCTGGTTTTCAACTCTCTTTTTAAAAATGAACTATAAAAATAACCCTTCTTTTTTGTTATTGTTAGCCCTATTAATGGATTCTATTACCTAGTGGAAGGACTTTAATCCTGTCATCCACCTTTTCTCGTAATTTTCCTGAAATCTATCACTTGCAGCATGTGGCAATGGAGACTCTTAAATAGTCACATATATTTATCCTTAAGAAGCAGGTTTTGCTGGGGTTCATGCTTGAGTCCGTTTTTCTTATCTTCCTCAAATGGCCAAAGTTAACTGATTTGAAAGGGCCTCATTTTAAATTACATTCATTCAGTGAAAACAGAAATTAACACTTAGAGACATCTATATGCTAATGATTGTAGCTCAGGGAATACCCTTCTAACCTTTTCAAAAGGAGTTGGTAAAAAGCCATTTCACTTGAAAGCAACTTAGTAAAAATGGTAGATTAATTAAATACAATAAAATTTCCCTAAAATCTTTATCCCATTTATCACTTATCATTATTTTTCCTTTTCACACATGGTACCTTAGCTCCAAACTGAATGTTCCAGGATGCATTTATTAAAACTGTTTTTCTAGTGACATCTATTAGATGCTGAAAAACAGAGGTTAATAATGTCGTGAGTTTTAGGGATGGCATGCAAACAGAAGTGGAAAAGAGCCTCATCTATCACAGTACATAAGATACTAAGTGTATGAATTTTGGCAAAAGGGTCAAAAATGTGTAAAGGAAAGATTTCTTATAGCCTTTCCAGATTCTAAGAAATAAACTGAATGAGAAGATCCCAAGCTTTCAGGTCTTTTGAGGACCATGTCCACATCCATTAGTGAGTTTCCTGTAAATGCAGAATATGACGGTATTGCTGCTTATAGACAAATTTGATAGATGCACTTTGTGTTTTTTCTTGACTCTGTAGGAGGTTAGAATTTCTGAAGAGGATAAATCGAGTATTGCACATATTAAGTGCCTTGTGCAGACTGATATTTTGCCTCGTAGTACCTGTGTTACTGCCTTATGTGCAACATTTCTTAGATGAGGTCACTGCTGTAGAGGCCTTGCAGGTCCTTGAATCACATTCCTGTCTGGGAGAAAAGGAAAAGCTTGTGGAAACAATCTTTGTTGTTCTTAAACTGACTACTGTTCATATTGTGCTTGTTCTTAGAGGAAAAATTTCTAAGGAAAGGGCCTAAAAAGCTAATGCCTGGTGCTTCTTTGAAGCTACCCATCTGATTAGTCTTGTAGATCCAGATATAAAGTCAAACTAGGGTCAAATAAAGTATTAAACCCTGGAGTAAGATGTGTCTGCCCTAGGCTAGAAGCAATTTGCAACTCATACTTGGTTTAAATTTAATAGCAGAAAAAATCCTATTGAAACAAAATGTGGCAATTATCATAGCAGAGATTCCAGTGCGGGAGAGACTGGAGGAAGGTCATGGATCTGTACTTGGTTTACTGATGAAAAAGTGATGCGAAAATCCAAAAGGATCACAAGCTTTAGTAGTACTTAGTTAAGCAGGTGTTACAGAACAACTTTCTTTCCACCCAAAAGAGAGGCCTAGAAACCTTCCCAGATGGCTGAGCAGTGTGTCCACAGGCTCGAATGAGGTGGGTGTGAAAGACTGTGTTCAGTTCTGCCTCAAGAGAGAATCAAATGCCCTGGGCAAGCAGTCAGGAGAAGATAGGTGGTGATGGTCCTTGAGCAGAGAGGGACATTTGTGACTTGGGGATTGGAGGGTGAGATTTTTCTGCAGGAATTGACGGAGGAAGGTAAAAGACTGGGTGATAGCTACCTCCTATAAAGCAAAGGAAGAGAGAGTGGGAATCTTTTGACTAAGAGCTGCTAACAGGTAATATATGATTAAAAAGGAGTAACTGTGCCTTGAACACGCACCAGGAGATTATGTGGGGTGTGAGAAAATGTCTTGTGCAGGCTTTATTAGCAGCTCAACTGTACCCTAGGTTTTTTAGTGTTATCAGAAAAGTAATGATCTACACTGCTGTGATTTTGTCCCCCTGGTTGGCAGAAAGACAGTTTTTAAGCAGCTGTTGCTTAATGCCACAAAAAGCTAACATGACCTGGGATCAGAGCAGTTATGAACAACAGCTTCTTTGTTTTTCACTGTTCTGACTAGGGGCTGTTCTCTGCTCTTATGGCTTCAACTTTCACCTGGGTTTTAATCAAAATGATGTCTCTTAAAATTCCTTGAAAAGGAGAAAAAAATCTCACTTAAGCTGGCAGGTTTTAGTGTGTGTGCAATAAGGCACATATTTACAATGTGACACTGTCTTTCAGTCTGTTGTTTCTCCACCTCACACCAAAAGCCAAGGCAAGTGTTAAAATTGCCGTTCTTCACCTAATCAGTTTTGGAAACGGCACTTAATTCAGTGGCTGCCAGGAAGAAATTCTTTTGTGCACTGTTATGGCTCTGAATAAAACACAGTAATTCAAAAAATTTCCTTAGCTAATACAAGAATGTCCTTTTTTTGGCAGTTAGTTCTGTGGGTTCTAGGCTGGTCTAGCTAGATAAAAGCCCAAGGTGCTAGACTTGGCCTCTTTCTTGGAGGTGTCAGATATTGCTTGTCTTCAGCTTATGAAAGTAAACCCACATCGAAGTCCCTCTGGCACAATAATAGGGATTTGCAGGAGTTCAGCAAGCTAAAGCAGATCCTGAAAATTGAGCAGATATGCATTTAAAGCCATGGAAAACTTGACTGGGGGAGTTTCATAAATCCTGGTTGCTGAATATATCACTAAACCAGTTATTTGGTTTGCTAGGGTACGAAAATGTAGTTAGGTGAGAGAGTTATCTATAACTTGAAGGTTGTATTCCCTGCAGAAAGATCAAAACTGACTGAAGTTGATAATGTTTATGTTAATGAAGATATTTTTAAATGGAAATCATATTATAGTTATGAATTGTCATGGTTACAACAACAGAAAGAAAAAGCCTATCAAAAACCTCCTGCATAAAGATAAGTGTAAAATTTGAATCATTTAAGAGCTTATTATAAAAACAAAACAAGCGTCTTTTGTTGAAGTCTTCTTCTCAGTTGGTGACATTCTGTTTGACTGTACTTTCACAAGTTGTGGCATAGGCCTCTAGATCTAGAACACATATAGACTCCATCATGATAGGGAGAAAAATGCTGTGGTGGCTTGCTGTAACTACCAGCTGATGTTACTTTTTAATGAAATTATGAATTTAATTGGAATGCTATATTTCAGCTTTATTCAAATGGTGTCAGTAGGATTAGATTATATTGTCTCTCTGTGTCACTGACAGTGTCTGAAAAAAAGTCTTTAAAGTACTCCACCATTCCCCTTAATAATTTTGGGACAATATTCAAATTGGTACTTCAGTTGTAATGTGTAAATTTGGTACACTGTGGTAGTTCAGCTACTGAAAAAATTTACCAATGCCTTTAATCACCTGTTCTAGATGCAGTACTTAAGTGCTTATGCATCCTTTTATAAATCAAGCATTAATTATGTGATAAATTATTTCATTGCCTAAATAAATATAGATATGAATGAAAAATTATGATGGTTATGTTTAACAGTATATAATGATATACTATCATATATATGCAAGTGTCACTAGCATAAGATTTCATACACATTCAGAAGAAACAGAAGAAGAAACAAAAAAGATAAATTGAGTTTTTAGTGTGGTGGGATTTTCTTGGGTATTCTCTCTCTTTTTGGAGATTGCAATTGGAGTTGAAAGTAATTTCCCTGCTTTCATATATTTTTTCCTGTGAACCTTGATGTAGACTTTTCTATTGTAAGCGTGCCTGTATTTTTTAAAAAATGTATCTTTAAAGTATAAACACAACTTTTTGTTTTCAGTAGTAGCAGACTTCTGATACTGCTTCTAATAGTATCTATATCTTCTATAAGGATCTATTTTTTTTCCTCTGCATCTTGGTTAAAGAAACATCCATGTTAAGTTACATGTACTTTTAGCTGATTGACTTGAAAATAAAAACAATTAGTTCTCTTTGCTTCACTGTATGTAAAACTTTCAAGTCCAAGAAGTTGCTTACTATAAGCTAGTCATTTAGAGTATTAGTGGAATGGAAATCAGCTTGGACAGGGTGATGTGTGTTCGAATCAAAATGGAGCATGCAGTTAACAAAAAAAGGAGATTGAAAAGGATTTCCTGCATGCATAAACAAAGCAGCTTACAAAGTAGCTTACAAAATGTAAGTGAAGGGAAATGTGAGTTTAATCAGCTGCTATGTTGCCTACTTAGTTCCTTTCTATTCTGGCTCTGGTGGTAGAAATTTGTCTTTGCATGAGGTTTTAGGTATTCTGCTCCTATAGTAAGAGCATAGCAGAGGCATGTAAGGATGAGGAGAAACTCTCTCAGGAGGAAAGGAGGACACAAGGCCAGCTTTGAAGGTTTGGATCTCCCATGCTGTAGCCAGGCACAGAGCCAAACATCCAACTGATACCCAGTGCATCACATATAGAGGTGACATTGGGTTTGTAATCCAGCCACAACAACATTAGCTAGTGACATAATGAATTAGAGCGATCTGTAATTTTAATAAGTGTTTTATGGAAATAGATGCTTTAGTGAAATTCAAGGGATTGAGCATTTTCATACAGGAGACTGTGATGAGTTACATAAGAAAAGCAAAGCTCAAGCATACCCAGGGTTTGGATTTTCACATATGCTGTATATAGTCACGTGATTGTATGGCTCTTTGCACTAGCTTTGTGTGGGTGTGTATCATAGGTTCTTGAGTCTTGAA